AAGACATCAAGAACCATCTAGATCCGATTTAAATTGGAGCTTCTCGGCCGCGCGCCGGATAAAGCACGGACCTACCTCACGGCACACAGTGGAGCGAGTCAGTCAGAGAGGTCGGACATGAAATGTTTGACCAAAACTGCAAATGTAGGTATAGGTTTCCTTCGTCACATTTTTAACTTTAAGGGGTGCTTCTTGAGGAAAATTCCAAGAGGAAACTAGAAGAACCACTTTTAGGATTTCTAAGTTTTGTATAAACGGAGTTATGAGCGTTGAAAGTTTCCAAATTTTGTTCGACTTCTATTGAGTGGATCCATTGTGCGGCAGTGAGGCCATCTCTTTAACCTGGCGGCAACTACTTCTACGGAAGTTGCGGGTTGCAGGTTGCGGCCATGTCAGGCGGAAATTGAGAATCGGGTCCGCAATGTAGACATAAACGCAAAGGTGGCAACTTATGGTGGTTTGGTGGCGCATTATGTGGATACTTATATGACTTCAACTTCCTTAAATCGAGTGATTTCTAGACTTTTTGAATTTACGATCCATACAGTTTTTTTTTTTTTATATACATATATAACTTTTAGGCTTAATTGATTTCCTGTTTGTATAATTTTGTTTTCGAGCGTTGCTGAATTTTGTTGTCTAAATTCGTCTACTACTTGTTTAGATATTTATTTATCATCTTTTTTAACTGAAGAGTTCATCAATTTTTATCTTTATAATCTAATAAAGGTTAGTGTAATTTTATTTATCTCTTTATTATTTTTTTTTATTTTATTTATCAATGTTTTGGATCTGATTCCTGTTTTTTCTTGTTCTGCTCATTTTGTATGCATGCATGGCATTGGGGGCTGGAACTGTTCTTCTTCCATAGATTGCCTCCAAAAGTGCCCGACTCGGAAAGTGGAAAAAGATCAGAAAACGGAAAAAAAAAGCAAATCCATTTTCGACGACTCAAAAAGGATGGGCAAAGCGAGTGGTAATGATAATTTCCTTTACAATTGAGGGGCTTGGAGGACAAGGCGCATAAGTGCAGTTTTTGCTATTTCGAGAAACACGTGTTTGAAGTTTCGAAATCACATGGATCCTCATGGAGGAAAGAAAGTTCAAACTTACTTTATGATGCTTAGAAATCGGAATTTGGGAGCGAATTTTTCACAGAATATGCACAAGAATAGTTTTACTTGATATCATTAATAACTCAATTTTTTCAAAAACTGCACTTAGGCGCCTTGCCCTCCAAACCCGTCAGTTTTTCTTATTAGGTTTCCACATCTTACACAAAGAGATTCCAAGATTGTGGGTAAAATAGACCGCTAACCGTGCCGTGCGGTCGAGCCCTATTTACGAGTAGATGTTTGGTTTCGTTAGGCTGCAGCCACCCTTTCGTCAGTTACTTTCGGGAGATGATGGAGAGGGTAGGGAAGTGCTTTTTGTATTTAGGCCCGGTGAATGGCTACTGTCACTTAGAATGTTTTTGGCGCTCATTTTTTTTTTTTTTTCTCTTTTAACCAATTTCAAATAGCCTTTCGGCTAATCCCATGCTTATTACCCTAGCCCCAGGTGACCATTGCTTGAGACCATCAAACTCAGAGCACCTGGCCGGGAATCGAACCCGGGACCTCTTGGTCATAGGGCCAGCACTACAACCACTACACCACAGAAGGCCGACTTTCAATCCCCAAGAAGAGCCCTTTGGCTAAAAAGATGGAAATTTTTGGTCTTTTATTGGTGCGACATGAACGTCTGGCAAGTTGCGTATTTTCCGAAGGAAAACAGCTCGTTTCGAAACAAAAAAGAATTCCTGCCTATCTTTTCAATATGAAGAGAGGGGGGAATTTTAAAGACTAAAAATAAATATACGTTTGCATATTTTGGGATTTCTTTACTCAATGCTTTCAAAATCCCTGTGATGTGACCACTCCTGACAGCATGGATACCTAATGCAGATTTTAGATTCTATGATCGTAAGTGAAAATTAATAGATACAAATTTTAAGACATCAAAACACTGAAGTACGATTAGAATAGTCTGGAGCCTACCCAAAGAAAAATGGGAGATGAAGGGGGGAGTCGTCAAGTAAGTGGCTTGGTCTACTGTTGAAGGGTTGATTGGTCTTGATGAATCTGGATCCTTTAAAAAAGCTCCTGTTCAACATTGCAAGCCTTGAAGAATAGACCAGAACAGTCACACAACATCTCCTCTCTAGATATTTCCCCTGATCACCAGTTTCATGGCAAGGACTATAGAGAGGAAGGTATAGTACCAATGGCCAAAGTGTAAAACCACGTATCTCCATTACAGTGTTTCAAAATTTCTGCTCATACTTTATTTTTTTGAAAAAACAAACCAACTTGGGATACCTATTAAAACTTAAACATATTAATAAGTTGGAAACCAAGGAATTACGTTGACAATTCTCAAACCAAAAGCATTAACTATGACAGGAAGTCTGCAACGTCACAAACGGAGATCCGTGGTTTCACCGATTCGTCATCGATATGGAGGTGGAAGAGATCAAAATTTCCATGAATAAGCCGAAATTTTTCTTTATTTGTTACAAAAAGTAAAAGAAACAATTCAAGAAACCAGTTCACAATTCTTTTGACAATTAGATGTAGTGAGCAAACCTAACAGAAACGAAAACGAGAAAAATGTAAAAATCAACAATTTTAATACAGTAAAATAAGATAATTTACCAATGCTACGTAGTTGTCTAACGGGGGAACAAAAAAAAAGGAACCAACAAATTTTCAGCACGAAAATTGTCGTAAAAAATCAAGCTAAAATGAATCCATCGTATGAAAATAAAGCGATCAGCAAAATCAATAGACAAAGCAGAATCTAGTCATCACTGAATGGAGCTCTTAATGATACTGGAACGAGGAGGCTATTAATTAACAATTCGAATATAAAACATTAAGTTGTGAATAATCTAACTAAAAAGGCAACACGGATCCTTAGACAAATTTAAAAACAGAGGTTGTAAAAAGGCAGTAATCAAAATTTCCAACGAGTCCTACACATTCCTGATCCTTACTCATACGCAGATTTTAAGATAGTTAAAAAGAGGATCATTCCTGATCCTTACTCATACGCAGATTTTAAGATAGTTAAAAAGAGGATCATGCGTCTTAGACATGCTTTTTGCAGTTTCACTGGTGAAAACTCGAAATTAAAAAACTTAAAAAGTACATAAGAGCTTATTACAACCATTTCCTAGTGAAAATATGATGGCATGCATCTAGCTGAGATTGCACCCATTGTACTCTTATTTGCTGTTCTACAGAAAGTTTGTTGGTACGAAACTACAAAATTTTGCATCTATAAGGCTATTGAGCTTAAGCTCAAATTGATTTTACTTAAAAGTTTATGCTTGACTTTTTCAACAAAACATCCGCATTGGAATTGAAGAAGACGACTAAATAAATTAAATAGAGGAAAAATTTTCTTTCAGATTTTTTTAAAAAAAAAGAGAATTTTTTTTTTCATGCGGTCCACAATTTCTTTCTTTCTTTAAACAGGCTCTAAAAATTGATTTTTTTTTAATATTGGTCGGACTTAAAAGCTGAGGTGCTAAAATTAAAATTCTAAAATGAAATTATGCAAACATAAAACAATGAAAGGTTAAGTCTTGATTGAGTAAAACGATAATTACATAAAAATTAAGAACAGAATACAAAGAGTCTTATAATCAACTGAGAGTACGGGCATTTTTACATAATCAAATTGACTCTTTTTGCAGATAACTAAAGGAAAAGGAATCGATTTGGAAGGAATAACACAGTTTTCGAGTTCTTCAGAGCTGCATTGAAATCCCTGGAAATAATTAAATGTTTAAAAAATCTCCGCTATGCCTGTTTCCATTTTCAAAATGTTTTCAATTGATAGCTTTACATAATTAAAAAGATTTTTGTTTCTTCATTTTTTTCAGACAAAGATAGAAAATAACAAACCGTAAAATTGCTCAAGATATTCTTCTGTTTTATGAGGAAAAGAAGCAAGTAAGTATACACCAGGAGCCAGTGAAGCATACAACTTCCCAAAACGCAGTTGTTGGATTTACTACTAGTAACATATTACCATTACCATCATTTGCAGTCTTCTACTTTTTTCGTTTCTTGGCAGGTTCCTGAAAAAACGAAACACTGGTTAGCTCATATCATAATGATGTCAACTGAACTACTTTTTACATCAGACCTCATAAATGAGCAAGTAATACATATGTGCAGAAACATTTTTTTATTTGTAAACTTACCTTTCAATTCGATGGTAATTTTAAATGTAGGTCATTCGAGCCTAATTATTTTAGCACTTTATTCTCAAGGCATTTTTGCAAAACTTTCCTGCATTATTCTTGTTCATGCTTATCTCTGCTTGCAAAATTGCAGATTTCCTGTCATACTTTATTTTTTCTTCGGAAAACTAGTCAACGTAATCTCATGAAAACTTCCTTGATTTGTCTCCTCTGTTTGCAGAATGTTCTGTATAATTTCAAGTTATTAAGTTGATGTGTTTTCTCTTGGAAAAATAAACTAGAAGCAGACGTTTTGAAAGATCACAATGGAAATACGTGGTTTTGCACTTTGGTCATCCACATAATAATAATAATAATAAAATAATAATAATAAATTATTCGTCATAAATGTTCAATCCGGCAAACAAATGCATCAACAATGTGTTTCTTAATCTTAAACAAAGAAACAAATGAGTTCCTTATTACTATATTTTTAAACCAGAACTAATTTTACTAATCTGTGAGTTGATTAATCGAATAAAATGTCTTATCAATTAAATAGTTTATATAATAGTTAGATATGCTATCTTCATTTTGACATGAAATTCAATAGTAGCCTGTTGTAATATGATTAAAAGCTCAAGCTGAAATGTGGAGTGTATTTTCTACCTGTCTACTTAAAGATAATTTTGGCAATGTTGATGAATAAATTTGCATGATAATAAAGAAAAAAAAGTATTAATGACTGAAACTGAGTTCCATTATCTCAGCCAGATAATACACTTCCTTCGTGGCAGTGTGAAATTCACGAAAACAGGGTTCCAGTTTTCTTGCAAGTTTTGGTAAGAAATGAATATCTGTCTAGTCTTACCTTCTCTTAACTTTCAAATGCACCCATTCTGACAGGTATTTTTTACTTTTTTTACTTTCCCGTTTATTTACTTACAGTAATTAAAACGTTAATCATTTTTTTATAAACTACTAAAGGGTGTTTACAGGCAAGAAATAAATCTCTGACTTTCCCAGGTTTTCCCGGGCCAAAATAATTTAAATTCTCTGACTTTCTACATAGACCATTTGATTGCTTAGAAATAAAATTTAAACATTTTTTACATCAATTTTACTGCAAATGACGAAGATATGTAAAGTAGTATTGTTCAAGTATCGATAATTCAATTGGTCTGTTTGGAGTGTGACTCAGAGTCGATCTCAAGATTTTTCAAATTTCTAATCTTTTTCATAAAATTCTGTGACTTTTCCCTGATTTTACTGACCCTATGGAAGTCCCTACCGATTCCTGGTTTTCCAGACCTATAGACAACCTACTACTTTCTCCCTCAAAACTAAGACATGTCATTCATATGTTTAATTATTCTTCTCTATTTATTTTTTTCTTTTTGCAGAAAAAAGGATATATGCTTTGATACATGCTCACATAAAAAAACTCGGTTTGAATGCTAAGTGCTGTTGACTGCACTTCAGAGATCAAAACAATACAGAAAGACCAAGGTAACGTAATAACTTTCAAAATAACATTAGTCCTGTTTCAAATCAAATAGAAAAGCAAGAGCATGTAGCACAAGTGAGAATACAAACAATATTATTGCTGCATTTTTCACTTGACAAACATATACCAAAAGACAAGTATATGAATGGGATTGGATACTGATGTAGAAGTAGCAAAAAATCACCGCCACGTTTTTGTCACCTGATATTATTTTAAACCTGGAAGAATGCCTCTTTTAACAACTGCGATAAATCCAGACAAAGTGAATTCCTTTTCCTCGAGACGATCAGTGGTTCATTCTGCGAAGGGAATCATTGCGAGTTCACAACCGCTAGCTACAGCATGTGGATTGGAAATACTCCGTAAAGGCGGCAACTGTGCCGATGCTGCGGTCGCTGTAGCCGCTGGCCTAAGCCTCACCGAGCCTGGAAATACTGGTCTCGGGGGTGACATGTTTTGCCTCTTCTATAATGCCAAAACCAGGAGTGTTCACTCGCTGAATGGCAGTGGCAGAGCAGGGGCGATGAGTACTCTTGAGGCTATCCGGAAGGAACTTGGGTTACTGGATGGTCAGGTTGGAGAGATTCCCCAACGGTCTGTTCATGCTGTAACAGTTCCTGGAACGGCTGCTGGCTGGGTTGATACCGTCAAGAAATTTGGTAGTGGCAAAGTAAGGTTCGAGGAAATCTTAGAGCCAGCCATTAAACTTGGCGAAGAGGGTTTCCCGGTGAGTGAATTTGCAGCAGCCTTATGGAGAAAACATGAAGACTTACTGAAGTGCGCTTCACCCAATGGCTACGAGTTGCTTAAGAAAGATCCCTTGGCAAAAGATGGTTACCGAGCACCATATGAAGGAGAAATCATGACAAATCCAACTTTGGCAAACACATTCAGACAGCTTGCAAAGCACGGGAAAGCAGGCTTTTATACAGGGCCTGTAGCACAGGAGCTGGTCAAGGTAGTTCGAAATCTCGGCGGTTACCTCACACATGATGATCTCAGGCATCACATGGAAACAGGCACCGAGGAAACAGAACCGATCAAATTCAATATCAAGGCACCTGATGTCGTTGAAATTCACGGACAGCATATGTCAGACAAATCGAGAGAGGGCGTTGACGTCTGGGTGCATCCACCAAACAGTCAGGGCATCGTTTCTCTGATGGCTCTTGGGATTATCGAAGAACTACAGAGGTCCGGAAGGGTCTCAAACTTCTCCTTGGAAGAACATAATTCTGCTCGGTATCTTCACGTTTTAATCGAAGCACTTCGAATTGCTTTCTGTGACGCAGAATATGTGTCTGATCCAAATTCTTCCAAAGTACCTTTCCAAAACTTGCTCAATTCGGAATACCTTGCTCAGCGAGCAAAACTATTCTCGTCAGAAAAAGCTGCCAACTTATTTCCCCGCGGCATACTAGCTCATCACTCCAGTGATACTGTCTATTTCGCTGTCACTGACAGTGATGGCAATGGTATAAGCTTCATAAACAGTAATTGTAACTACTTTGGCACAGGTATTGTCCCAAAAGGGTGCGGATTCTTGTTGCACAATAGAGGAATATCGTTCAAGCTGCAGCCATCAAACCATCCAAACATCTTAGCACCAAGGAAAAGACCATATCACACAAACATTCCAGCTCTTGTGACTAACACAAGCGATCAGAGTTTACATTCTGTTTTTGGAATTATGGGTGGGTTCATGCAGCCGCAAGGTCAAGTGCAATTACTCTTGAATCAACTCGTCTTCCAGTTTGATCCGCAGGCTGCACTTGACTTGCCTCGCTTTTGCATCGAATATTGTAAGATGCCCATCAATGGCCGATATTACGACACAGTTTACCTTGAGGATGGATTCACTACAGAGACTGTTGAGGAACTTTTACGACTAGGTCACAAGGTGGAAGTACTGAAAGGGAAATCAGAAGATTTCTGTGGTATGGGTCAAATTATTCGTTTCCATGTGGACGCAATCAGTGGCAAAACTGTTTGGAGCGCCGGAAGTGACCCAAGAGGGGATGGTGCTGCTGTACCACTTATATAAATTTTGATTGTGGTAAAAAATGAGAAGGGGAAAAATAGGTAACAACATTTGTCACTTCATTTTTTCCCCATTTCATGCAATGTTATTTGCTCAAGGAGGAGTTAAGCGATTATTTTTGATTCCTTTCTCCATTTATAGGGATTCATTGGGAATATTCAATTTTGCTGAGAAGTGCAATATAGTTGCAAGATCTCCGAATACTCATAAAGAGCAAAGACAAATCAATGCTCAAAGGATATGTGATGATGAACCTCTTGAGTTTACGTAAGGACAAGTGTTAAGAAAGCTTCTGAAAAGGGGGGGTCATGGAGTAAAAAGTCTAAGATATTGCTGTAGTGCAGTGCTTTGCAGCCCAGATATTCAAGTCTAGCAGAATGTCTTAAAATTTGGATTTTTTTTTTTTTTTTTTTTTTTTTTTTTTTTACATATTTTATCCTCAAGCAAAAGAAGTGCAATACACATTACTTTCCTGCCTCACCGCATAGTGACAAGCATTGCCATGAACTTTGCCCTACTGAAAAAAAATCCAAATTAAACAGCAGAATTTCTGCTCTAAAGTTCCCCAGAATTTTCTGTCTATGCCCTTTCCTTCTACTTCTACATGGCAACACTATTGAGCTAGGGAAAAACGTCGTATGAGCCTTCAGAAGTTCAGACATTGCCATATTTCCTTCAATAAAGCGCATTAAGTGGGAAAATTTTGAATATTTTCCTACAAATTTTTCAGACCGTTTATTTGAAATTTTATCTGAAATATCTGAAACTTTCAAGGAAAAATAAGCAAAACTTTTCTCAAAAATACAATTTTTATCCCCGTAAATTTCGCAAATCTCGAATGTTCATGCATAGATCTTTTTCAGCACTGCAGAACGGAACACAAGCAGAGTGATGTTGTAAACTAAAGGCACGAGATTAATTCTCAAGATTCTTAGAGCTAGAAAAACAAGCCAGAGTTGGAGCAAATATACATTAACACTCACCTTCTTTTTTTGTTCGGGGACTAGTTTTGGATCTTTCTTATCACAAGATTTAAGTGAGCAGCATTCCTGCGAAGCAGCTTGTAAAGAATTATTTACAACCTCAGTTTTTTTCTCCACTTGTGGATCTGACTTAGCAGGCAATGATGCTTCAACTTTCAGATCTTCGACTGGTTTCCCCTCGTCAACTTTGGCATCAGAAGGTGCTGCAGGTGGAGCGGGTGATTTCTGTTCACTACCAACATCACTTTGTTCAGGAACTGGAGCAGAGGCCTCTTTCTTAATCGAGTCCTTCGACTCGACAGACGCAGCCTCAGTGCTGCTGTCGGTCTTAGTTTGACTGGGAGACTTGTCTGCAGGACCATCGGAAACCAAGGAGCCGACAGATTTGCAACTTTCTTCAATGCTCGCTAGGGAATCAGTGATGCTTGTGGTTTCTGTTTTGACTTCGCATTGATTTGCAGATTTAGATTTGGCGTTCGCTCGGTTTTTGGAGGCTTTCTGGTCCACTGGAGTAGTTTGTGATAAATCAGCGGTTGGCAGGGAGGGGCTTGTGTTATTGGGTATGGAGTCTTTAACGCTTGGTAGTGTGGCTTCTTGTTTGGCCTCAGAATCACACTCATTTTCAATCTTAGTCATGAGAGATTCGACCGCTTCGGGACCATTTTCTGTGTTGACCAACTTCTCTGCTTCACTTAGTTCACCTGGGAAAATAATTGAAATTCATTGAATAATCCTAAAATTAAATTTGATACAATTGCAAATCTTTGTTTAGCTTTTTGATATATTCTTGATGGAAGTTCTTTGACATGCATCTAGATTTTAGTCTTTCAAAATGTCCTTATCTGTTCAATGTTTTTTTTTTCTTCTTCTTTTTTTCAAATTAAAATAGGATGGGCTTTACGTAAGAATGATTTGAAAAAATACTTTTTACAAGACTAAAAAAAATCAGAAAATATGAAAAAAAAAGTTGATTCAAATCCTTTTTTGAATAAAATTACGTACGATAAACAGTGACGCCGAGATCTAAGATACACATTACAGAACTTTCATTAGCAATATTTGCAAAGACAGGTGTGTAGAATTATGCAAGCCAAAAGTATGAGATCAGTGCAATCTATGGTCACCTTCTAAAACTAGAATTGTAGATTTATCAGTTTACAAGGTAACTTTTCTTTCTTTCTCCTTGTACGTGTGATTTTTGTTTTGTTATACCTTTTACCGGCTCAATTTCATACGGTTTTCCAATTGATTATCCGACATTATTGATCGAGCAGGACTGAAAAACAGTTAATTTTCAATCGAACATCTACTACTCTGCAATGCTTGACTCAAAGGCCTATATGAAATTATCAAAAAATACTACTGAGGTCCAACATCCATTTTGATGACAAAATTCAGCAATTCTTGAATAAAATGCTTAAGTCACCCGCTCAGTTTTGAAACCACACACAACATATTTCCTTCACAACTGCCGGGAATCACTTTTTATACTTTACTTTCCATTCAACACTTATTGATACTTTTTAAGGTAACTTACCTCCTCCAGTTAACTTTTTAACAGTCGCTAAGAGTTGTGTCCTCTCTGTCTGTAGAGTACGGCAAAGACTTTGCAAAGCTTGTAATTGTCGACTGGTCTTCTTCAGTTCCTGGTCAGAGACCTGTTTGTCTACAGCCATTTCTAATACAGCTTGATGACTCTGTTCCCAACGCTTTTTCCATGTTGAAGTCTCTTTCTCGAGTTTTGTGATTTTTTTCGACATCTGTTAACATTGACAACATTCAATTATTATTCAGGTTAGAAAATGAGGAATTGAAAAATTATACGGATACAATCTGCCAACTTGTGCATATCATCAAAACACATTGCGTGCAATGTCAAGATGAAAACCATGAAGAACAGGCTTACTTTAAAATACCGCAATATAACATTACTTCCCCAAAAATAGAAAAATAAAGTCTGAAGTAGAATTAAAGCCTTCTGAGTTTAAAGGCAGAATTTTCTCGTCTTTTGAATGTACAATTTTCTAACCTTTAAGGGGAAAAAAAGGTGATTCAGTGATTCTGTTTGCTCAAATGAAAAATATTTACCTTTTCCATTTCGACTTTGAATCCAGAGAAAACCTGGCTAGATTTTGAGAGCGCCTGCTGGAATTCATCATACTTGTCATTATAGAGAGCTATTTGACTTCTCAGATCAACTTCAATACCTTGCAGCTCCTGACAACGATTCTGGTAGGTTGTTAGCTCCTGCAAAAAAATAGCGAGATTGAATTTTCAATGACTTCCGGAACGCTGAAGAGAGTCACACAGTGCAACCGGTATTATAGGACTTTTTCCTTGCAAAAACCAAGTCAACAGGAAAATTGAGTTGAAAAGTGTAGACTTCATGATTGTCCAATAATTGCACAACTATTGTAATTACATTATATTCGTTCAGGGTGATTGTTCTTTAGGAGCTTATCAACACACATGTAACCTTAATTAACTTCTAAATTTTATTTCCTATTTCTTGAATATTTTTTGTGTTATTTTCATTTTTCTAAAAAAATTCTTATTTTTCTTTTGAATTTTTTTTACCATTTCCCCATTTTGATACAACCTTCTAAACATGTCATTGGCAGACTTCATGAACTAAAATTCACCAAAGAGTTAAATGAGGATAACAATGAGGTGCAGGATGAAACTTGATGGAGAAATGCAGATTCTAACTTTCAATTATCGAAATTCAAGTTTGAGACTTTCTCCTTTATGCCACCACTAAACAGATAATAATGAAGAACTCACCAGTAAAAGCTGTTGTTTCTCACGTAGGAGGATTTCTTTTTCAGCTGTCATTTCCATTTTTGCCTTGGCCAATTTTGCATCACACAACTGAACCTCCAATTCCATTTGCTTCCCCAGTTTTTCAACTTGCTATGAACAGTATGAATGAAAATACTGAAATTTAGCCGACTTGAAAGGTATCAGTTTGAGATATTTCCTGCCTTTGAAGTAGTTTGAAGAAACTATTTCTGCGAAGTAGTTTTAAGAAACTATTTCTACAAAGTAGTTTGAAGAAACTATTTCTGCAACGTAGTTTGAAGAAACTATTTCTATGAAGTAGTTTGAAGAAACTATTTCTGCGACTCACCAATTTAAGTAAAGAAATGGTTACTTTAAAATAATTCAAAATTCAACTAACAGCTAAAGTTACATGATAGAATTAAAGTATTTCCTGCCTTTCCTTTGAAATGGAGCAACAAATGTTCAAGATAAAAAATTCTTGATTAAAATTGGATACCGAGAACTGAAATTTATCTTAGTCATATGAGAAGGAAAAAAGATTATTCTGTTCCTCCTTCCAATTCGTTTTAAAAATGATAAAACTGAGGTACCTAACATTTGTGTTGACCAGTAAACACAGGATGAACAGAAGTCAAGATCACTGAAATTATGAACTCTCATCAATAATTTTCAAGCTTTGATTACAAAATTAGGAGAGCAAATGACATCAACACGACCCTTCGTGACAACGGCTTTTTACTATTTTCCTTCTTTTTCTCTAAACGTTTTCCAGTTAGACAAGTGCAAAACAAAGGGAAAAATTGCGGAGACAGGGCTAAAATTGGACGTGGAAATAAATTTTATCAAACAAAAATATTTTCATGTCTGCTTTTGGCCTTGTTTCCATGGCTTTTTCCTCTTGTTTTGCACTTGTGACATATATTTTGGGCTGCCTCATTGTTTTTAGTTAGCCTCCTAATTAAAAAAATTTATCAAAATGAAAACTTGAATGTGCACAAATGGACAATAGATAAAATTTCTTTCAGAGGATCAGATTTTTCAAGGACTTTGCTTGGTTTTTTTGGATCTTTTTTAATTTTATTGCTTCCTTGGAAGAACTACATGAAGAATTCCTCACCTGTTCTCTTAACTGATACTGCTCGCACACAGATTTGAGCCTTGATGTCATATCCACATTGTCATCTCGCAGTTTATTGTTCTTCTCATTGTTCTGCTGCATTAAGGTAGTTATCTCACTCAGCGTGTTTTGGAACTTCTGTGATATTTCAGTCCGTTTCTCTTCCTCTTCACGCATTTTTGCTATGCTCTCCTCCTGTAGAAACAAAAGGCAGATATTCAGGTAAAGTCTTTAATCTACTTCATGCTCCCATCACACATTTCAAAAAAACAAGTTCAGAATTAAAAGTTAACGGAACTTGCATGGACCCACATAAATCAGCAATGAAGATTCTTGGAGGAAAAATACTCTCAGAAATAGAAAAAAGCTCACTAAATGTTTTGTAACAATATTATATGATATCTATTTAAGGGAATACACCCAAAAAGACGCACAAATCACAGCATATCGAGTGTCTCATTAGTAAGGTTACAGCTTTAGTTCATTGCACAAAATAAAAGTGAGTTCAGTAGAATTTATATGGCTTCTAGAAAAACAGAATTAATCTATTTTTGGGCGTCTTTTAAAAGATTTTCAAGTACTTTTCAAAACACATTCCTAAACAATAGTTCTATTTGCCTGCGATAAACTTTGCAGAGGATTTCCTTTCAATATTTTAACCTTTTTTGTAAGTTTCTCATTAGAAAATTAGGTCTGATCCAACAGTTTATTAAATATCAAAACACTCTTAATTTGAAAAAACGATTCGATACCTCTGATGTATTTTTATAAGTGTAAAGTCAAGCAATTTTCGAGAAGCTGTTAGAAATGCAAATCTTTTTCAGGATCTTGAGCAAAAAAGTAAGAAAAGAGTAGTTCCCAAAGCCACTTAAACCATGCTTTCACGACGCTATATTGTTCAACCGAAGAGACAAGATATCTTCCTTCGTGCCAAACCTATACAGTCATTAGATCAGCCATTTTCTCTGCGTCTAGTACACTGATCACCAATCAATGCTGGCACATTGCACATCAATGCATTTTTCAGTTAAGTTTGAGCATATCTATAAGGTTGAGGACACTGTTGATGAATAGCCAATAAAAATTAGGAGAGGCAAGAGAGTGAACATTGCTACTTGCAATGCGCAAACTCACCTTAATTGCTTTGTTCTGCTTCTGAAGTTCTCGACATAGGCTCTCCAGACGACTCCGAGTTAAGATTGCTTTACTGTGCTCAGATTGAAGCTGCTCTTTTTCTCGGTGGATGAGTTGAACCTTCTTTTCAGATTGCTTCACCAATAACTGGAAGAAAAGATAGAAAATTAGAATTCTGACAAATATGAAGGGGAAAGAGTTCATCAAAATATTTTTCAAAAATTTAGATGCAAATTATTGCCCGTTTTCCTTGATCATTCATTGAAAATCTTGCTGTTGTTTGGACAGAAAACCAGATTAGTTTTTGATAATAAAAGGAAAAAATTAGGCTTTTTCATTTTTTTTTTGTACATTGGAAAATAATCTCCCCTTAATTAATATACAAGTATGGCTAGGATGCCAGAGACAATATTTGTAGGATAAAAAATGTATTTTAACCTGTCAGTATTTTCTTCTGAAAAAGTGTCGGTCTGATCTTAGGAAATTTCAAATACCTCCATCACAATCTAAAAGATTTGTTCATGACCTTTCCCAGTTCTTAGAAATGCTTGACGTAAAAAATGTCTGAATTAATTTCTTGTAGGTATGTGTCTTGTAAACTGTGTATTTTTTTTTTTTTAACTTAGAGACCTTACTTTCAAGATGCCTTCTAAAAAATCTGTGAGAAGGAGAGGTGCTAACCTGGAGCTTACGATTTTCATCGAACATATCTGCATATTTTTTACACAAGGCAGCCAGTTTCTCTTCTGTTGTGTTCAGGCTATTTAAGGCTTTTAACACATGAGTAACACTCTTGTCTTCTTTTTTGTGCTTCTCATCTTTGTGTTTATGTACCTGAGGAAAAAAGATCCAAATTATAATATAATTTAACTATGCTAAGTATTTCAGGACAGATTTCATAATGTTCATGCGTATCTCTAAACAGCCGAATACCACTACACAGAGGATTTTTTATGCATTCATGTTTTCCTCATTGGTTTGATTTCACTCAAAATTGATAAATAAAAGATATGTGTGTTTAAGAATTTAGAGTTCTTTCTCTCTCCAAAAGACCCAAATGTACTTGAACCAAATGAGGCACTCCGTCAATTTCAGTGAACTTCCTGATTAAATTATTTTCCCTGGGAGCAGAATTGTTCTTCATAAGTATACAAGGACTACATTACGTCGCTCCTCTGGCGTAGGGACATATCTCGATTTCTAAGTGAGCCCTGTTCTCAGTACAACTCTACTTTCTGGGGCTCATGTGAAAATAGAGATACGTCCTTACGTCAGAGGGACGACAATAAGAGGAGCAGGGCCGGCTCCTTACCCCATTTACGCTGTAGCTCTTGCGTGCGATAGTGGTAGTGATTTATTAAGTGTGGTAAAAACTGTCTATAAAGTTAAAAGTTTTGATGATTGTAGTTACCTTTGCTGGGACTGGAATAGTAGCAGGAGGAGCCACTGGAGCTGGCGGGAGAGGTACTGCCTGGACTGGAACATGATTATTCACCAGTGGCACTGTCTGAGGCATCTGAGGACCTGCTGGAAGTCCATTTAGTTGACACTGAGTTTGGTTGGTCACAGCCTGGACATTTGTCAAAGGAGTCTTTGCTTCAGTCTGTTGGGCTACGTTACTAGCCAATCCTTGCTGAGTGCAAGGCTCATTATTTGAAATTGACGGGTTATTGACACGAGAGACATCAGATTTCCCGGGTGCATTATCTACATTTACAGCAACCTGCTGGGGTTGGCTGGGAGGTTGAGTTGTGATGGGTTGAGGGCTAGCTGATGCGTTCGTGGAAGGTTGAGAATTAGTGGTGAGTGGGGGGTTTGCGGGGGATGGGATAACTGTGGAGGCTGGGGAAACGGTGGCAGTTGCAGGAACATTGGCAGTTGAGGGAACGATGGGGGTTGGTAGAACAGTGGCTGATGGGGGAGCAGTGACTGATGGAGGAACAGCGGCAGGTGGGGGAATGGTGGCTAATGGGGGAACAGTGGACGATGCAGGAACATTGGAAGAAGGGGGAACAATGGACGATGCAGGAACATTCGTGGATGGGGGGACGGTGGATGACGAGGAAGTAGTAGATGAAGGGGGAACAGAGGGCGATGTAGGGATGGAGGATTTACCTGACGGTGGGGGATTGGTGGTAGGTTGAGGAGTGGAGGAAGGTGATGAGTTGGTGAGAGGTTGAGCATTATTTATAGGTGGTGGGATGGTGGGAAGTGGAGGGTTAGGAGAAACTGCTGGGTTGGAAGGGGGTGGAACTTTGGTGGAGGGCTGCTTTTGAGGCTGCTGACAGACGGTGGGAGGTTGTTTAGGTGCCAGCTGGCAGGTGGTTGGTGACTGAGCAGCGATGGGGGAATTCGCTTTGGATAAAGCTTTGACCTCAGCATTCTGTTGTGGGTTAGGAGGGTTTTTCTCTGTAGACTGCTTCAGGACAACATCAACAACTTTTACATTTGCAGGCTTGCAGGCCTTCTCTGCCTTAGCAACTTTTGCAGGTTTTGGGGATGGTGCCTCTTTCTGAAAGAAAAGGAACAGACAGCCATGATACACTTACAGAATAGGTATAAAAAATCAGAATGAACAATGGCAGTATATAAAAATAACTTATCTTCCCAACGTAAGGCATACAATAAAAGCTCTTATCAGACTTCAAAGAATATCAGTGACAGGAACCGATTCCTTGTACTTCACTGATTCCAATTTCTTTAAACTTTAACTGATTCATATTGATTAATAGCTGCAAGAATTTCTTGAGTCCTGATGGATTCATTGGTTCTATTCAGCCGCAAGACAAGACTTTCAACTCGATATCAGTACCCCAGAGTCAAAAGATACCTAACTACATTTAAGTCATCCTGAGACCGAGATATCGGGGAAACACCATACATCGGCCCAATTGACTCCAGCGTAAATCGCACTTTTTGAAATTCCGTATCTCTTAACTGACGTAAGAAAGGGTTACTAAATTTTTCTCACACACAAAAACCGTTATTGGAGATTTCCAAGACAATACTAACTCGATTTTTAAAAAATGTGAGTTAGGTGCCTGTTGGCTCTGGGGTACTGATATGATGTTCTCCTTCGAATCGAAGATAGAAAAGAATTCGAACACCTCAGGAAGCTCACCATGAGCTGCACATCTGCTTAGATCCTTATAATGCCCAAACATTCACCATCCAATGCGAAGATAATAGAAAGAATGATATCATGGTCATGCTTACATACAGCTGACTGATCATGCCTAAGAGGCAGTATATTTAAGAGAGATACACTATCAGTCATGGGAGAATGCTAAACGCATTCAAGCCTTCACCAAAGGTTGTACCTGGCCATTTTACAACCCTTGGAACCTCAAGGAATCAGTTGAAAACTGACTTGAGCAGACAGAGGGAAGCAAATTTGAATCTTGTAAATTAAGATACTTACAGCAGCTACATTATTGATGGCAGGAACCCTATTTTGAGCAGGTTTATTCGTTTTCATTTTCAAGATGAGAGATTACTCTTGAACCAGCAAAATAGACTGCATGAGAAACTGAAACAAAAACACAAGTCATGATTCACTTTAGTCCAAAAATGAATTGTCAACAAAGTTGAAAGGCCATTCAGAATGTTAAGAGGAGATAATCTTGCATTTACAGATCGCATCATTCTTGCTTTAAGAGCTGCAAATATAAGTGTACGCAGGATTGATATTTACATACTACTCGCTAGTAGGAGCAAAAGTGTCAATTAAGAGGAGACACTCGGCAGCAAGATCAAACTTTTGCGACTCTACCATAAGTACCTTGCAGACTGCCAGTTCATGCTGCATTTTCTCTCTGCTGAAAAAAATTGATGTGACAAACTCACATGTGATACAAAGCGAAACTCAAACCTCGATAGTACAATGCACGAGTGCTACAGCATTACAGACAAGATACTTAGCTAAGATTGGATTCTTGGAAACATAAAGGGGGGCTTTCAGAGATTTTGCGGCATACCTGGGCCCGTGATGAGACCTCGAAATTCTCTGACAGTTTGTGAATTCACGACGCAGCGTTTGTAAAGCTAATGATACGGAAACTGAAGAAACAGCATGTGATACGTGCGAGGAAAAAAGGTGATAATTGAGAACGAAAAAACACAATTCACTGCGGCGATAAGGATCACTGCCCTTTGGGCGAATTTTACTCGTTGATGGTTGATGTAGTGATGAGTGGTGGGAAAACAAACAGTGCCGAAGGTCACCAAACAGCTGATGCAACTTTTATTTGATTTATGCCCTCTAAATTCAAACGTGCGGGCTTTTTTGATAGTTGCGCAAGTGCATTCTCAGACGCTGAGTACTCATGCAGTGATTTCTGAGTTTCACTAATAAAATTTTTCGTGAGAAACTTAGTTATTTTCTTAAGAATTATAAAGAAATTGTTCGCATTCAGTATTGAAGATGTTTAGTTTTGCCGAAATAGATGTTTCAAATTAACCATTTCTACCTAGTTTAATTATTGTAAGTAGGCACTAAAGGGAAGATTGTGAAATTGCGGACAAATATTTTCTTATTCAGCCTCATAGTATAAAAATATATATAAATTAATTGTAAAATCATCACATGCAAGGTGGAACCTTAAATGATAACAAAACTAGTTACACCTCTTAAACGGACCAAAATGACAGGAATTAAAAATTCAGGCTTCTGTATAGCACAACCAATCTTTCCCTAAAGGAGAATCAAATGAGGGGCTTGGAGGACAAGGCGTATAAGAGCAGTTTTGGATATTTCGAGAAATACTTGTTTGAAGTTTCCAAATTAAATGGATCCTTATGGCGGAAAGAAAGTTCAAACTTACTTTTCGATGCTTCAAAATTGGAATTTGATAGCGAATTTTTCACAGAATAATCAAAATGCATTAAGACATACGTTTTACTTGAAATAATCAAAACCTCAATTTTTCAAAAACTGCAGTTATGCGCCTTGTCCTCCAAGCCTCTTAAATATCAAAATGCAGGAGATTATTTGGATCGCGTTTAGCAACACCCTGGTAAAAATTGGCAGTAGAAATCTGTGTTCCAAAATACCATAGACCTAAAGCCGGCTGTAAGATTTTCAATAGCTTCTATAGCCGGATGCACAATTTCTTATAGCCTTTTATAGCCGATGGCGATTAAGCAACAGCCAGGCGATAAAGTGCATGCTACATGTTACTAATAACGGATGCCAGGACTTATTGAGTTTTTGGACTACCGCTCTGTTTTTGGGCCGCAGTATCTTGATTTATTTTGCGCGGAAAGCTGCGTACTTTTGAAGGATGCCTGCCATTCCTAATATGTTGGAGCGCCTTCAATTTCGTATGATACTGTGCAATACCTCTGGTGTGAAATAGTTGCTTCAAGCGCCGTGGCACGCTGACCGGCGCGACGGGCGGGTAGCCAGCGCGAAAAGCGCATTAGCGCCTGCAAACCTAACAGGGATACTTCAAGCATTGCACAATGCTTGAAGTATCCCTCTTGGGTTTGTAGGCGCTAGTGCGCGCTTAACTATGGCAGCACGCCGCTCCGCTCTGTGTTAGGCTCCAATAATAATCTCGCGGAGTCAGCATTTTTCAACCCATGATTTTAAAATGTTTGCACATCCTGTATGGATTATTCTCATTTTAATTGACGAAAAAAAATATGTATTAAAGGAAAATATAATGTGTGTTTTGTAAATATTATGGTGGTTCCGTATCAAACTTAATGATTTCCAAAGCGCACGAATTTCTACACAATTTCTTATAGCCTTATATAGCCGATGGCGATAAAGTGTAAAGCCCGGCGATAGGAGCTATAGCCCGGCTGTATACTTTTTTTATCGCTTCGTATAGCCCGGCTTTATGATTTGCTCCGCTTTCTACAGCCAGCTATATGATTTTCTATTGCCTTCTTTAGCCGGCTATAGGAATTCCTATGGTATTTTGAAACGCAGCTCCTATCGCCAATTTTTACCAGGGCAAAGGAATACTAGCGCAATTCCAGTGTTGTAAAAATGTTGCTTCTCCATAATTATCTGAAACATCTCCCAGAATAGCATATGTAGATTTTGCTTCCCACCAAAAAATTGTCAATTTTAGAGGAAAATAATTGTGTTAATTTTGATACTGTGCATATATTTAGTACTTTTAAAGGAAAATAAGAAATCGCGCGATTTTGAAAACACTGGTTCCTTTTTGCCAAATGCGATCCATTTGACCTCTGAATCGCTCTTGCATGAAAAATGTTTCCTGGGGGAGAGACATCTCCTGAGGCGAAAAATTGCCCCTAATAGGTAAATTTTCAGATCATGGTGAAGGTGGGCTCCAGGCCACACTCCTAGAACAATGACAAACAGAGGAAGGGTACCGCGTGAAAATCCCGATTTTGAATTGTTCCGAGGTCCGACGGGCACACCTGTCCACAGTGCCAAAGACAACTTAAAAATATCTTGAAAAAGAAATGTCAGCGCGTAGAACAACGCATGCTCCTATTCAAAAATAGTTCACTCACTCTACGGTGATTCAACCCGGCGCACCGCGCCGCCTTCGCCTATCCCCGTCCGTCTTATTAGGCCAGCGGCCAGTCGAACCGACAGCATTCGGCCCAGTAGAATTTTTAAAGCCCCCCCCCCCCCTTTCTCAACCCATCCCATGCCGCATCCTAATATAATGCACATTCTCTTCAAAATATCATTCTGTCGGTAAATTACAAAAAAAAGTGCGTCGATTACAGATACATGGATTCATCCGAAATGTTAATACTTTGTGTAGGTACTTTTCGGAAATTGCTTTATACTTCTGAGCCTTATGAAAAAAATCAGACCTCGATTCTGTGTGGAGTAAAGTCTTTAAATAATCAACGAGAGGAGATGAAAAAAGTCGGAAAATACTATCTTGATCATGGTATTTATAAATTCTGCACTTGATAATTCCATACCTGTCACAGAAAACTACGCGAAATTCTATTCCAAAAAATGTACTTGTAGAAGTGAATGCCCATGCGTTTTCCGATGAAAATTTTAGAAAACTGATACCTTACAGATAATTATGGATTTTCATGGCGAATTTCAAAATATTCTGTGATAAAAGTCGGAAAAGATAGGGAGGAAATGGGGTCTCGGGAGGGGGGCCGGGGCTCGCCCCCACATATCTACTTGACCCTTTCCAAGGAATGTGAAGGATTTTGTTAAGTAAGTGCTTGACACAGCTTACATCTCGGAAATTGGAATTGGATAAATTTTTCGGTGAAAATTGCACGAAATGCACTCAAGGCAACTCAATTTTTCAACATTTCCTGTGGGAGGCCTCCCGAACTCCCCTGAAAAGTTAGTTGATTCCTCCAAACTCTTTTTCGAAGCTAGGAAAGTCCCGCAGACACTTTTGTGCCCCCCAGGCCCCCCTCGATGAGGTACCCTTCCGCCTCAACCCATCCACGAAAAGTTCCTAGTTCTGACCGTGAACATGCCTTGGTTTAAGAATTTTGTAACTTTCCTTTCCTTCAAAATGAATTTAAAAAAAAGAAAAGAAAAGAAAAATGAGGCTTGGTTTAAAAAGAAAAAAAAAGAGTTTTTTTTGCTCAGAATTTGCACAAGAACTTTTAAGATAGTAGTCTTCCATTCTCCAAAAAATAAAAATAAAAAAATGACAATAATAGTAATTATAAAATAAAGATCGAGTGAGAAAAAAATGCTGCAGGTAAAGCAAGTCTTTATTTTAAGTATTCGACGGGGAAATTTCAAACATTATGCTGCCTTATCTTACTTAACTAGCTGCTTTGGTGAAAGTATTGCTATTATATCGGAGTGTAGGGCATGTTGTCTCTTCACTGATTGAAGGGAGTGCTCATATTAAATCATTGCTATAAAATTAAAATAAGTTACCTCTTTTTTCTTTTTTTCTTTTTTTTGCATCGCAAAAGTGTCTATCAATCTCGCACATGGAACACGTTTTATTGCGGTTGTAAAAGCGTTATTTATTGACTAAATTATGTAAAATTATTGCGATTTCATGGTAAAAAAACCCCCAATTTTATCGAATTCAGTTGCAAAAATATGTCATTATTTTCGTTGCACTGTGCTACACTGTTAAGAATGAAAATTAAGCGCCAAATAGCCCGAGTGATATGAATGCGGGGTGGAATCTATCCTCCTTACGGAATGACTTTCACTCCGGCACCGAATTGCATTCCGTGATTTTTAACAGTGCACGTACCTGGATAAGTGATAAACTTTTCTAGGGCCTCAATCTTATAATGCCAATAAACTTTAGAAGACTATCCTTTATATTTTGACCGCTATCTCATTGATTGAGAGAGAAAGAGAGAGAGAGAGGAAGGACATGAGAGAGGAAAAGTGAAAATTGGATAAACGTGTTTAAAATAACATGTTCCACACAAAGCACCTAGAACTGCGCACTTTAGGCCACTGTTAACCTAATTATTTTTCGGACGGCGAAATTATGTTCGATCCATTCAAAAGTGGGTGAGGTAAAAACTTAAGGAGCTTTGAAAGTTGGAAACTATAGATCGAGGATTACAGCGGAGGACACGAAAACTCGAATGACCGTACTTTCGCCGCTAATGGAAAAATGGCTTACTCACAGGTCTGTGTAGAGTCGTCGATTTTTCGTCCGAATTCGACGGTGTTTCTGATCTTGAAAATGTTGGTTGTGAAGTAGAATCTTTCGATTAGATCCCTGGGAGGAAATATACGATCACAGAAGGAAATTACAGCCAGAACGTATCAAAGAAAACTTTCTTGAAAACAGCCGAAAATAAGTGGAAAGTAATCCATTGTCAGGCTTCCTATCATGCGGGACCGTATAGCCCAGCTTAAACTTCATATGTTATTTACGGAAAGGGCTATTCTTAGACGACGCACTCTCAGTTGAAACTCCGCCCTCCCGCTCCAAATCGGCCGTCCACAGCATAAACGCCGTAACTCCACTCGAAATTTTGTATTTTTTTCCAGCGCGCACTGCTCTATTAAAAAAAAAATTCAATTGCCATGAGGCTTAATTTTTTCATTTTCAGTTCCGAATGGTATGGCGGAGGTGTGTCGAAAAAATGAAAGATGAATATTTGTTATATTTTTTGTAAAACGACATTTTGTCGGGAAAAAATTGAAAAAAAGTTGAATGGAGGTACGGTATTTTTACTATGGACGGCAGAAATATTCCTCGTGATTTTCGGACGATCATTAGAAAAAAAAACTGAGTAAAACATTTTCTTCTTTTTTTTGCGGACCGATAGGACTGGAGCGATACCAGGAACCGCCCCTAAAAGTGATTTTTTTTTTTTTTTTTTATTGAAGCGCATTTCCTTTTTTTTTTTTAGAAATGGTAGAAGTAGAATTAAGTATTTCAAACTTTGTATATTTGGAGGATTCTATGGATAAATGGACCTCGTTAAGCAGAAAGGAACCAAGCCACATCAGCTATTGCCAAATGTAATCGGGCACTTTAATGTTTTGCATAAAAACGGATGTGCGAATTTGTGTTCAAATTTCAGGGAATTTTCTGCATAGTACGAATCAAATTCCTTAAAATGTTTAACCGAATCCGAACAAACGTCGTTCTCTTGTAAAAATTTCAATTGCGCAGTTAAATTTGACAATAGCTGATGTGGCTTGGCTCCTTTCTGCTAAACGCGGTCCAAATCATACAAGTTAAATTAGGCATGATTTTTCGCTTCATTCTGTAGCATACACTAGGACGAGAATCATAATTTTGCAATATGATGGCAATTTTTTTTCCATGATATACAATATCTTTACAAATAATTTGTCAATAAAAATCGATCGTAAATGATCATATATAGTTCGGTTCCATATGGATAATAAAATAATTCGGAGCCGTTTAGTTCACTCTTTTGCCAAAAAAGGTCTTAGAATTGCTTGAGAATCCAGCAATCTCAAGCCCTGGACAAGAATTTTAAAAATATTTGTTCTGTAGAAGCGCTGCAGCGGTCTATTGAACTGCGAGCCTCAAGTCACCATTACTTCCATTTGGTTTGACATTTTCAAAAGTTTTTAGTGTCGAAATTTTTACAGTGCACTCCCAGTATGCTCCAACATCTGTATAACTCCATTTTTCTTTTTAAATCCTCAAAAGATCCGCAGGACATTGCTCCCCTCTACACTTTAGTATTGAGAGCTAAATTTTTTATCTTTTGTTGACAAAGGTTCCTTTTCCCTGACAGTTAGGTACAAAATAAAACTTTAAAAAATAAATAAAAACACAAATAAATAAGGAGATGAATTAGATGCCAACAGCTATCGGAGGATGAGATGTGTGGAGTGTGCACATCTTGCCAATATCTATGTGAAATGAACTCAACGCACGAGAGAACTCAAGCAAAATGCCTTCATTTGAGTAGGGTGTGCAATACGCATTCCGGGGCGTTAATATAGTTGCTTGCTTGCAAGGCTGCACCAGAGCTCTGCACAATGAAAGCAGTTGGCATGGCGTTTCAGTTGGTTTTGCACATGGTTTTCCGACAATTCATTGAATGTTGACGTTACTATGGAATACATTTTACCGCGTTGCCACATTTTTACCCCGATAACGCATTCCTGCAATGCACGCTTCACTTCCTAAGCCAATGTGACCTTTATTGGACTCACTGCGCCTCGAAAAGGCACGTCTTTCGTTCTCGGTGTTCCATCGTCTCGCACATGTATTTTCCTCTTTTTTCAATAGCATGGAGAGCAGAATTATAATGAGTCTCCTTCCTCAATTAAAGGCAAGAAAATCATACTGAAGACTAAAGGTTGGGCAAATTTCGCAACGTGTTGATTCGTTTCATTATTTCAATCTCAACATGCTTGTTGGCTTCAACTGGTTTACTTCCCCAAACTATCAAAAAACATTTCCAGACCTAGAGTTTTAGTTAGTTTTACGATATTAAAAACAAATAAATTAAAAAAAGGTCCAAAATTGCAAAGTTTCTATGAACCCTTAGATGCCTAAGCCGGATCAAACTGACCCAAAGCTTGACAAAAACACGTGCCCCGCGGAGCCAGTGCGTACAAGCTTTAGATATACTTAGGTCTACAAATATACTTCTTAAAAAAAGAATCAGATGTCAAAGTGGGAAAAAAAGAAAAAATGTTAAAACAGATGAAGATAGGACATATTCGGGCCTCCTTTTCCTCCCGAATCTGAGCGACACCTCATTGGCAGCATAGAGCAATGCGCGTTCAAGTTTCGCGCCTTCAATTTTGCGGACGCAACACGGACATCCATCAAGCACGAATAGTTGTATCTTTGCGCCGTCATCAACGCGCGTCCTTTCTCTTGCTCTGTTTCCATTTCGCGTTTGTCCTCGTTTGTTTTACTGCAGTGCTTCAAAGGCTACGTGCGCATTTGCAGTCGAAGACGAGAGAGATGTAATCGGCCCCGTTTTTTAACTTTTCTCCCAAATCTGATGCCGCAATCACACGCTGCATTTGGCAGCTGCATGTGGCAGTCAATAGTCAGCGCTCAACGGCTGAAATTTCACTAATTCGAGTTATTCTCATCCAAATGTGTATCAAATCTATTCGAATAGTTCAGAAAAATCTGACATTATCCGATGGTCGCTGAGAATCGTTACTAAATTCTGCGCGTCACGCGCAAAATTCAGGCATCGGACCGATGACTTCCACATTCAAGCCACACTCAGCTCCCACATTCAGCGTGTGATTGCGGCAGGAGCGACACCTCATTGGCAGCATAGAGCGGAGATTTGCGAGTTCACGCCTCGCTATCGCACAGTGCGGCATCCTTATGGAGGACTCGGACACAAGTCGGTAAAAGACACTTGACTTTAAATAATGAAAGATAGTAGCACCGACTTTGGAAAACCCTTAAACACTGTCAAAGTAAAACACTCGAGGAATAAGAAAATGTTATATCTAAGGGTTCTTTGCGTACTTTTCGAGAAAAGTTCATTTGAGGTTGGCAACCTCGAATCAGCCCTGTGTTGACATTGTAAAAGCAACGTGAAACACCTAAACTTTAACTTCAAATATCTCTGATAGTCGCAAAATCTTTTTGGTGGAATTGAAGTTGGATATGCGAGGATTAAGAGAATGTCAACCGCTTAGAACATTTTGCGTTCCAAGCGAGAAATCTCTCTTTCAAGTTGTCGTCTTCCTGTGTTTTTCTAATCGACCGGTGATTCTCGACCCATTTTCCGCTCACTTTCCACCTAAATCTGAACTAATTTCGGGCGAAGTATTTGAAAATGAACCATCATTGTGAGTTAAAAATATCTTTAGATGACAAACTGAAAAAAAAATTCAGATGTCCTGTTGTGAATTTTTTATTTTTGTCCACAGAGAGCTACACTGTGCGCCGGCTCGAAACGCGCGCTAACGCCTACAAACCTAAGGGAATACTTCACGCATTGCGCAACGCTTGAAGTATCCCCTTAGGTTTGTAGGCGCCAGTTTCACGCTGATGCCGCCCGCCCACGGCGCATCGCGCCCTCAACGGACACTCTTCAGCAAGAATAGGTGTGTCTGTGCGCTGTCATCGATGTTCGTTAAGGTGTTTCTTATTCTTGAAATTTGAGAGAAGTTGAGGCTAAAAATGTGCAATGATGTGTCCAAATCAAATGTGCAATAATGTGTCCAAATCAAATGTGCAATAATGTGTCCAAATCAAAAATGATTTTGAAAAAAATCCTCTGAAGCGCCCAAAAGTGCTCACGCGCACCGTTAGAAATGGTATTTTGGCGATACTTAGTATGTTGTGCCAGGGATAGGTATTTGTCCTAGGTGTTGTGCTACGCGTATAAAATACGTCTTGGGCATCTAAGGGTTGATTTATGTTTGAAATATCATCAAAAATTGTAGGAATTATGATAGACTTTTTCTCCTCTGCAATGAATACATTACGACGGGCATTTTAATTTGTTGCGACGGCGAATACGCTTTTTTCCCCACCCTCTCTGAAAAATGTCGCTCCGCCATCATCAAAAATGTGTTGTAAAATCATGTAAAGATACATAGATCTGAACACCCTTTTTACATCGAGCGAATAAATTTTTTCTTCGTTCTCAACAAATTAGCCCGACTCGGTTTTTTTCAGCTTCGTAAGTTTCAATCCAATTGAGCGTAAACCAAATCATTTAGCAAGTAAGAATGAAAAAAAATTCAAGCTTCCCGCGGTTTTCTTTACTCCATAAGAAAAACTGGAGCACTTGCCTCAAACAGAAGAGCGAAAGTATTCCGATGAAATTGTGATAAATACTAAAAGGATTTTCGGGGTGCGAGAGAGGGGGAGGGGGTTCAAAACATTTCTGCCCTCTGACTTGACCGGAAGTTCAAATCTCCCGCGCTAAAGAATCTTTGGTAATCGACACCGTTCATCGAGCCGGGTTGGCCGGAGATGAACGTTGAGCAGTTGCGAAAATTCGTGTCTGCGGTGGAAAAATCGATGGCTGCTGTGTTTTGTTAAATCTATGTAGTTCAATGCCCAATTTTTATGGAATTTTTCATATTTCCCCTGTGCATGAGTGAGTCTTGGGTAGATAGTCCGAACAAAAGTGATCACAAGTCTTCTCAATTATGTGTTATGGCGGAAGAGGACTCGGACGCAGAAATAAGACGGTCCCTAGATGTTGTTCAGTCCATGATAGATATCTCTGCTGAGAGATTACAAGGCTTGAGAACTCAGTGTGCCACAAGTGTTGAACTGACCAGACAAGAAATCAGGACTCTCGAGGTACATCTCTTTATTTTGCTCACATTTCTACACCTTTCTTAGCCGTATCGAACCCTTATCTAGGTCAATATTTATGTCCCTCTCCGTCCCCGCCTGTAAGTCAATTAGTGTCCTTGTAACCACTCTGCCATATATTTACCCGCAGTCTTTTAAATTAGTCCCTATTTTCTTCAATTCCCTTCTCGTATCATTCAACGTGCATGAAGTAGAAGCACCTTTTGGTCCAATTAATCTGGCATCCATCAATTCAATAACTGTGGAATGTCTAAAGCTGCGACCTCAAAACGGAGTACACCGAGAACTTTTTGCGAGAGATACCTTAATCCAATTTTTTTTTTTTTTCAAATTACATCGGCACTAAGTCTTGCACTATATTAATGGTACTATTTGCGTTACAAGAGTATTGAGCAATTAAATATGTGACGTCTGAAAGTGCGATCAACGAACGCAGTGTATTACCCAGGATGACAGCCTAAATCAGTGTAAACCAGAAATGAATAGAAGTAAGCTGGTTGTAAGTAAAACTCGCATGCAGTTAGTAGCATCGTATCCCAATTCCCTGTTGCAGACCTGCCTACTGTCATCTTTAAACGGTTCTCCTTAGCTCTATCTTGTTCAAAAATGTCGTGCCATCTTGATAAGATAAGAGCCCACAGTTTAGCGTGATATATTTTTTACTTTTGATTGACTATAAGGTCTTATTTGCCTCTCACTCAGGGTGGACTTTTTGCTGCAGGAACTAATTGCAAATTAAATGAAACATTCTGTTTAGTTTACCCTCGCATACCTTAAATGGATGACACAATTTAGAAAACCACCTGTGGCATAGACTAGCTATACGACTGTTATACTTGTACAATAGAAAAGCATCATTACTCTTTTAAATGAAGAGTATATTTAACTCTGTCGAATCATTTATGGAAGCTGTCGAAAATGAAGTAACCTAATATCCAAAGCTGGTACCTATTTAAAGCCCACGCCAAGTAAGTTAACGCACCTCTTAGATATAGAGAGAAAAAGCAGGTGGTTGTATCTTGAGGATTGTTTACCTCAGGATGTAGGTCTGTACAATATGGCATCGACTTACCAGCAAAATTCGAAGTATGAACTACGGACTGTAATGTCGGTTTCTTTTGCTTAGATCAATCAAAGTAACATTTCAAACACTTTATGTAAGTAGAATGACTATAAATGACATCATTTCCAAGAAAATCGATTTTAAAAACTGTCCTTACTTTATCTGAAAGCTGCAGTAAGGAATATTTCAGTGAGAAAGTCATTTGAATATTTTCCTTTGTAAATTTTTCACTATTATGCTACTTTATCGTGCTGAAATTTGTTCAAATTCAAATTTAGGGTAAGTACTGCTTGTTATCAAAACATAAAAAAATTAAGAGATCAACCAAAATTTCAGGGAAAAAACTGAAACATTCAATCACAAGATATCTTTGCCTTCTCTATGTTTTAGGGTAAACTCATTAAATTATTCTCGCGTCAACTGGTGACGAAAACTAAACTGAAGTCAAGTAATCATGCAGACTTGCAGAACATACCCTCACTCAAACAGTGGCTCCTTGTCGTTGGACTTGGACCGGAGTCAATTCAGGTATGTTTTGTCCTATTTATGTCAGCCCTCCTTAATTGTATTACCTAGGTCAGTTTCACAGATTTTTCTGATTATTGAATCTTTAAGTTTAGCAACAAACAGTTAAATTTTTCCAAACTTGGAGTTTTATGTTCAACATTTGAGGAAATAGCATCTGAATTATTCTCATTTTAAAATCAACATTTATTTATGGTTGTCCATAAAGCACAGTAAACCTTTTGGAATTTGTTTATCAAAAAGAGAGGAAAAGACAGGATACGCATTAGGTATTAAGAGATTTAGCACCAGCTAATTTTTTTTATACCTACAATTTTTTTTGAACCTTCTAAGCCTGATGAGCTTTAAAATCAGAACTTCTTACATGCCAATTTCGAGAATGTCCAGATCGGAAAGTGAATCGTTCTGCCTTTGTTCATGGATTCTCTGAGAGAAATTATACAACACTGGATCTGCGATGGAAGAAAGTTTTCCTTTTTTTTCCTGCCAGGTGATAAAAAAGAAAAAAGGGGAGGAATATTATCGAGTAATTTGCCCTATTTTTAAGCGTATCATACTCACAAGGCTGTCAAGAAAATCATACGGAAACGCTTGAAAGACCAAGGCCAGAACTATTTGAATTCTGTGCCGCGTCTTTTATTGTATCAATTCAGGGATATTTCGTGTGATTTAACTTTTCAGTTTCTGTTTAATGGAACCTTCTAAACTTTACTCAAACAAAAGTTGGCATTATTGCTTAACTGAGGATTCTTTGATGGGTCAGTTGTTGTATCATTATAAAATGATCAATTAAGAGCATTGCTAAGATAGTAAATTATCAATCCAAGTCATTCAATAACGGTTCAACACCTGCAGATTTAAGATCAATCTACACAGGTCAGTCATTCTTGAAGACGTGTTCTTTCTCATAGTTGTAGCCTATGTGATGTCACACTGGCTGTGACTGAGTGAAGGCTGGGCGGGGGAGTGGATATCAAAAAGATGCGTAATGAGAATGACTGACTCATGTGGATTTATCGTGCACAGACTTCTTGGCTCTTGAGAAATTTATTTGTTATTTTCATTATTTTTCAGCTTATCTGCCAAAGGGTCAAGACGATTGAAGCTCTACAAGAGCGATCGGAACATGATATTAAAACATTACTCGCGTCTCGATCCACTGTCAATCAAGAAGAGCTCAGGCGGCTCATGAGGGCAATGCATAATTTGAAAAAATACACTGGTAAGTTGTTCTTGATCAAAACAGTAGATCTTAGAAGAATTTATTCAGACACCGATGACTTGTGACATTCCATTTTTTCCTGCGAGGCTTATAGTAAACTTTTTAAGATACATGTAAAGGGGCCAAGGTATACATATAAAGAGGCTCATTAGCTGTAGATTAAATGTACTAAATTTGATATAAGTATGTACCTGTTGTATAAATACATAGTGAGGGGCCAAACACCATCCGAGAATGAATGATTAAATTGTCTTTGGTAAAAGATTGCTTACAATAAGCTTTCAGCAACTCACTCGGATGCAAAGCACCTTCAAAGTTCATCCAGCATGTGTTTGTGCTCCTGTGATAATGTAATTTCAAAGTTCCAAATCAATCAACATGAATTCATACAATTTTACTCATAAATACTTAATATTTAAAAATAAAAAATTAGAACATCTATTTTCTTTGTTTGATTGTTTAAGCAGTAATAAATTCTACTCACCATTATATTTTGAAAACATATTCTTCTTGATTTTTAAACATACTTCTTCATAACTATATTTTCTCTCTTTGTAGATTTATTCTTGCGAGGAGACTCCAAAGAAATCGGTGAAGTCGCTCTGTATTGGGACTCATGGGATCATCAGACTGTTTTCCGAGGGAGCTCTCCTCTGCGCACGAGGAGTGGACGGTGCTCTGTCCCTTCAGAAGATGCTCTGTTACCCTCAACTCAACAACTAGCTGCGCTAAATCATCATTCCAATTCCGTTTCGTCCCTTCCGCAGTCAACGCCTACTCACACTGTCAGCAGCACTCCACTGTCGCCCCTTCTGTATCATCCACCCTCTACGCCGCCTTTGACACCGTCGTCTAAAGGGAAAGGTATAAATCTATTTTATTTTATATTTTAGATCAGTATTTCGTGTGGATTTACTGTGATTATTCTTTTGGGGGAGCTAACATAGTACTGTCTCTCCATGAAGACACCCATTATAACAAAAATTTCTCTATTCTTATTGAAAAAATTGTTTGGTCTCAGGAAATTATTATGCTCATTGAGGGCTGCCTTTACTAACAAAAATGTCTCTATAACGAAAAATTGTTCGGTCCTTTGCAAAGTTGTTACAGAGAGAACTGTACCAGTGTACCTGAATAAGAATGTCTTGCTGAAAAATTGAAGGCTCAAAATTTGAATTTCTTTCAGGTTATTTCTCTCTTCATCTTCGTTTTCTCATTCTTTGTCTTCTGTAATTAAAACAGTTTAATGAAACTGCTTAATTCTGTAAACTGTCAAGCTGTCAAAAAACGTGCAAAATTTAAAATAAGAAATTCAGTATTTTTGTGACCAGAAAGTTTTTTGACATAGTCTGCTAGCTGAGAAATTAGTTAAGAAATGCTCAAGACTCCTAGAGACCTCCAAAGTTTCCTTTGCTAACTTCGTGTACCTAGGAAAATGGTCCATCAATAAAGACAGCAAAGTTTTTAAAGTCCTCAGATTAATTTTGTCTAATCAAACTCTCAGAAAGTCATACATTTGTTGCAGTCTCAGGTGTGAACTGTCTGGAAATAGTATATGGTCAAAGTTCACTGTTTGATGAAACTTTTACAACTTTGTTTGCTGTTTTTATCTGTCTTGTCCCTCATCATAATAAAACTTTAATCTCTTTGCTGCACCAGTATTTCATCCGAGTTGAGGCTAGCCTGGCACGGATTTATCAGACCGAATTTTATCTCATTACATTCCCGTAATGTCATCATTTTAATTTTTAGGTGATAAGGTGAAATTTCCCACCACGCCCCCACCCAGGAAGAAACATCAGACTGGACTACATTCTGCTGTCCTTCTTCCGGAGAACCACTCCTTAATTAAATCCAAGTCTCACGAGTCTCAGTTGGGTAATAAGATTGAGAATGAGTTGAATAACATCGCTGGGTAAGTCCTACTATCTTGTCACTAAATACCTGTCGCAGCTCAAACAAAACCGTTGAATGTCATGTTAGTTTAACCATGTAAAAGTCAATGAAATTTTACATCTCAATTTAAACGCAGCCACTTCAGCAAATGAAACCAACTTTTTATTAGCGGCTCTGGTGCTTGCACTAGAGCTGCTATTCCGGACGGTCCCAGCTGGGGAGTATCAACGGACCATGTTACATTGGAGAGACCGAGTGTTGGTTGATGGGAATCGGCGCCATTTTCTGCTGTTTAGGGGGGACTGATTTTATTTTAATTGATATCTTTTTCCTGTGAGCGAATGCTATGTTGTGTAGTGTATTTTTGGAATCATGGTGATACTGTCAATAATTCAAAACGGGTCTGTGCTTTAATCTCGCACTGGAAAAAATGTACTTTACGTTTAAAATTTGAAAATTCAAATCTATAAGTTTTCGCGCTTTTTTCGAAGAATGCCGTGGTTGGAGCTTCCTAGTCATACTACTTGACATCAGCTGATAGCAAACAAAGGTTACCAAGGAAACCGTAAACGCGTAACAACTACCTACTGTCGCCAGAGCCGCTTTCCGACGCGAATGCGTTGGAGCTTCCTGCTTGTTACTTATTTTAGAAACTTCCTATCTGCTATTGGTTTCCCTTTTTAGATAGACATTCTCACAAAAGCATTCATTTGTTTGATTCTTTCCTATTAGACTCAGTCCAAATCATCTAATATCAAGTTTGAAGTGAATGTTATGGTTTTTAAGCGATTCAATGCGTAAGCATTCTAAGCATGATCGCTTCTTCCGATCAATTCACTACTCTAAAGATCTAGGGTTCATCCGTTTGATCAAAGCAAAAATATCGCGATCTATATAGCATACTTCAAATTGTCCGTTTCTGTTGAAATACTTCTGGATGAAAGAACAGTTCAAATGAGCAATTTTCCAAAATCCGGGCTCATATCAAGCGCATCTCATTTAACTTTTAGGTAATTGTTAATGAAGAAACATTTTTTATTCGCATTCAAAGTTTTATACATCGATTACTCGATTGTGAGGTTATGGTTTATGTTGTTTGTTTTGGGTCTCCCCAAGATATTGGCCTAATTCCTCTTTGGAATAAACAGCCATTTTCAAAAAGTTGGGATCAAAATACTGATGAAAAATCGAAAAAGAACTCGGCTGATTCAAGACATATAAATTTTTGCTCTCATGGCATTGCCATATTTCAACTCGCCTCCAGTCGATCAAATTTAATAGAAAAACCTTGCGAGGGAACATTGAATCGCTTCCTTATCCGGCACCCGTGGGCTGGAGATGTCAGCTTGTTTACAGTTGATAGACACCATTAGCATCACATCACAGAAAAGTGATATATCTTGATTTATTTTCATTTGTAGCATTGAAACAGGTTATGTGATTGTTATTGTTCGGATCCAATTTGATAGAATCCCTTTGTCGACATCAACACTAATAGTATCCATAGATGATTGCCTGGTCTCTTCTCTATTCTCTTGTCCTCAAATGGTAAGATTTAAACTAGCGCAATTGTATGTTGCAGGCCTGAAAATGAGAAAGGGCGCAGAGGAAGACTTCCAACTGAACCTGGGTTAGGACAGACTTCACCTCTTTTAGCAAGTCCAATTAGATCTCCTCCACCTGTTGATGATGATGTCTCTCAGAGATGTATGTATTTGATCATTCTATCATAGAGAATAATTTTTTCTCAGTGCTCAATGAAGCCCTGCTGAAGGTCAGGAGTCAAAGCAGGGAAGTAGTGAGGAACTCTTCACCAGAAGAACTAGTAAAAACTAAAACTAGAAAACTAGTGAAACATAGCGCCATTTAGTGCATTCTTAAGTAAATTGCGAATTCAAAATGCTTTGAAATGGAATTTTGTCTATCAGACTAAAAACAGAAAGTTAGAAAAATTGGGTATTTTATATGAGAAGATAAGTTATCATTTTGAACTTTTAACTTGTCTATGTGAATTATTCCTATACTAATGTTTTTAAATACTAATCAAATTGAGATGTATGATAAACTTATATTCATTATGCTAATAGTATTAATCAAATTAATATTTAAAAATGAAAATCAGCACATCATAATATCCTAACTTCTTTTATTTACAGCCTCCGTCAGTTTACAAGTACCCAAGTCTCCTCGCACTCCAAATGTCTCGCGGGGAATGGGTCATGTCATCGCTCATCGGTTCACCAAAACTTTTAAAATGATGACCACTTGTGATTACTGCGATAAACAAATGTTCATAGGTACAGGTCAGTCCTTTATAACGTCTTCCTGTCTTTTATGTTCTTTGTGTGCTTTCACCCTGTATTTGTTATTTTTGTTTTCTACTCATAGCATTTCCAGCTCTAAAATTTTGCTCTCTCGAGATGAAATATTAGAAATAAAATTTATCCATTGTAAGACGTTTCTGTAACCTTAGGATTTGTAGGAAGCTTAGTGAGTAGTTTCCTTGTAGGATTCTTTTAGAATAATTTTTGCTTTTATCTAATACGCAAAATATTTCCTTGAAAAGTTTAACAAACCAGATCAATTGAGACCAAACCTAGAAGCAGAATAGATGTATGAAAGATGTACTGTAGGAAGGCAAAAATCCTGAGAGATACCATCTTTGCCTGTTCTAGAGAGTTTACAGCTTCAAACTAGCGGTGAAAATCACTCGTTTCACTTACTTGAATTCTGTCATTATTTTATTTCGGATTGCTAGATTTTTCATTTTGCTTTCACATCAGAAACGCAGCTTTCTGAATTTTCTGGATGCATTAGAGTAAAAGTTTCCTCAGTAGGCTCCATATTTAGAAAGGAAGTAAAAAAAGAGCCCCATCACATTCCAGTTTCTTTAGATTTAAAAAATGTACCCAATCAATAACCATAAAAATGTCTCTGAACATGAGATATTTGTAGGAAAAAAATGTATTTGAGAGGTCCAAAACATTTCAAAATCCCGTAAGTTTCTTGTGATCCAGCGCCTTTGACTCATGGCTAGTTTTCTGTTTTTCCTCGGTGAAAATCACCTAATTTCAAGACGGAATACCCAATTTTGTGGTGAAATGTGTATTTTACCTTAAGTTTATAATAAATTTTTTTTTTTTTTTAATGCTTCAATCATTCTAGCCTCTGCACTTTTTGATTTCAGGGTTAAAGTGCAAAGAATGCAAATACAAATGCCACAGAGACTGCGAATCCAAAGTGCCGCCTTCATGTGGACTACCTAGAGAATTCGTTGATGCTTTCCGTAGGAAATTACAATCTGATGGTTAGTATTCTAGTTTTGCACATTTTGCATTTTTGCTTTTTCAATTTATCAAACCCCTGTGAAAGTTTTGGAAAAAATGTAAATAAGCTGCAACTCAACTCACAGCAAGATAGATGTAACTTCATCCTAGATTTTTTTAGTTTCTCCTTGACAAAATGGGTTTTTGTTTTTGGTACCACGAAACCAACAAGCACTCATTATTTTTTTTTCTAAAACTACTGTGGCGCACCATAGAAAATTCAAACTTACAAAATGAATTATCATGGTGATCAGGTTTTATCTTAATAGAATAGAATGTGTGAGAAAAAAATGCACATGTAATATTGTACAATTAAAAAGATTTCTGACCATAACCTTTGAGTCTAAGAGATTTTTTTCTTGCATTCCTGAAAGAAAAACTTCAAATCGGTGTCAGTACAATAAAATTATCTATGAGAAGAACATGTAAATAATAATCCATCGCCCCATGCAAATATTCAATCTTACTTTAGTTGGGAAAATGTTGGTCGTAGTAAATTATGAGATATCACCCAGGTATTTTTTGTTTTAAAAGAGTAATTTTTGTCTTTTTTGAAAAATAAAAATCCTGAGATTTAATAAAAATGTTTGCTCAGTATAATTATTTTATGCACACGATTTCAGTCATCTATGTATTTTTGAAAATTTGTATGTCAATTATCATTGATTGTTTCTTTCGTAGCATTTGTTCCAAGTCCATCGCCTAACATGAACCGGCCCTCACCGAGTCATCACTCATCTAATCGGCTCATGAAAGGGGGCCGAAGATCACTCGTCAATGTTCCTTTAAGCTCAGTGAGTGAAACAGCATTTTTCTTTTTTTCTTCAATCCGCATTTTCAGGGCTGTGCGAATAGTGAATTTTGCAAACGGAATAAATAGCGAATAATTTTGCAAATTATTCACGAACATGAAGGGAATAGCAAATAATTTACATCAATTCTTCATAACTAAGAATAGTGATACAAATAATTTACATGGCCTTTTTAGTTCAAAAATTCGCAAATATTACAAAAGTTGACAAATAAATGTGATTAATTTTTAAAAAAATTTCCATTTGCTAACGCCCTCTTTCCGTCCTGGTTATTGAACTTTCAATTGGTAGTAATCTTGGAGCAACTAATGTATGCGGGCCAATCGAGTTTGCAAACTCAGTAAAGATCAAGGGAAGTTTGAAGTTTGCGATCTCTTGGATGGAAGCCTTGCGCAGGTGCTAGAAACGTTTTACTATCCACTCGGAAATTCGTTATTCTGGACGGCGCAAATAATCCTGATTGTCGGTTGGAGAATTTGTTATTAATGACAGCAAGAATATTCGAAAAAAGTCAGTGCGCGAGTCAGTCGAAGCGAATATTCGCCCCGAAAGTCGAAGCAAATATTTGCACAGCCCTACCCATTTTGGAGCCCATAGATTTTGTTTTTGGGTACATTTTACTACATTTAATATTTTGACAATCTGCTTGTACAATTTAATCACTGAATGGCTAATATTCGGCAGAAAAAAATGCAGGTCCATTACAGTCTTTTCAACAATGTGCAACTTTTCCTCTTCCTGGAAATTGCCTGAAAGTTTGAACAGCTTTTATTTTTCCACCCAAAAAATTACTAGTTTCATTTGAAACGATTCCTTTAAATCTCATCATGGTGAATGCTTTCAATTTTCCATGTGGTAAAGAAGAAGTTGCAAGACTTTGAAAACACTGTAATTGACTCGGTCCTTCTTTGACGAATGCTGTCTTAATCACAAATCTATATCACTCCCATCAATAATTGCCAGTCATGATCTAATAATAATCAAAATGTTACCATTATTTTGAGAAGTGTATATTAACCTGTTACCATCACGCATTTCATTTTGGACGAATGCTACAGACAGCCTTCCACTAAGTGCTCTTCACCCTTTAAAATAAGTCAGACAAAATTATTTTAGTTAAAACTCCTCTATTCAAGATATAATATTTTTTCAGACAAACGCAGACTCTAGTTCAAACACTTCCAGTTGTAACAGTTCAACTCCATCAAGTCCTGCTCTTGTCATTCCATCGCAGACCTCCACCATGAGCTCCATCTCGAAACAGCAGTTCCGCTTTCCAGAAGTCAATAGCTACGACTCGCAGTCATTAGATCTCAAAGGATCTTTGGTAAGTGTGCGTATTCCTTGTGGCAAGAGGTCATTTCATTTCCCCTCCTGTGTGTGTCATTAAAAGCTGATACACTAAAATAGATGCATCATGCATTTCAAGCAGTCCTAAATATTAACATTTTTTATCAAGAGTTGCAATAGTTTGTTTTCTTTTAAATCTGGAGGATCCATAACATCCCTTAAAGGTGCACCACATCAAATGAACGCTTTGTTTTGAGAAGTCACTTTATACCAAGCTCGCAGCACAGATGAGCTAAACTACGTATTAAGTCCACTTTTATTTTTCTAATGAGTAGGCATTATTTGTTTTTAGGATTCGGACTTAACCATATCAATGAGTACTGACTCGGATCGCACGCCTGTTCGGGTGGATTCTCTGGATAGTCAAGTTTCAGACGGTGATGCTTCGGACAAAGCTTGGCCGCGACAAAACAGCGTAAGTTATCCGCAGCACTTTTTAAGCCTCTCAGATGCTCCACAATACTTTTCCTAGGAGGGAAAGAAGTTCTAACTTTTTCAAGTAATTTTGGGGAACATGTCACAAGACTGTAATCCCAGTGAACCGCTGAAAAATTTGACTTAGGTTGATTTTGAATTTTTGACGGGAGAAAATTTACAACATGTTATTTCTAAACCACTTGCAACTTGGTGCCTTACTGTGAGACTCAGTTCATATGATTGGACATCATTGTTTCTATTCAATAGGGTGATATGAAAGTCCTGAATCTACCGTAAGGTTCTTGCCCTTTTTCAGGGTGGTTTTCATAAAATTTTGGGGGTTCTTAAAATTTGCTTCTTTTAACTTCAGAGTACTTGCAAAATTTCAAGTCTCCATCTCAATATTTTCTAAAGTTATGGGAGAAACGCTTGGTGCTGGTGGTATGAGACTTTTGGATCACTGATCACGTTTTACATGTTTCCATAATATCTAGTACGTTTGAATTTAATGATTTACAAAAATTGAGAAATCTCCTTTTATAAATTAAAAAGCAGTAATTAAATTAAGTTAAATTTAACTTTTATTAAGTGATCCCTCCCGAAAACGGTTTTATTGTAGGTTATGTGTTTTCTATTCTCTTAATGGAATTTGTTATATTTTTATATCTTCTAGCTATCTATGCGTGAATGGGACATTCCATGGGACGAATTAAAAATGGGGGAGCCTATTGGAACGGGTCATTTTGGTACCGTTTACCGGGGTAACTGGCATGGCGATGTTGCAATCAAAGTTCTAAAAATGGACTGCTTAGATGATGAAAAGACTTTAGAAGCTTTTAAATTAGAGGTAAGCCTTATATGGTTCATTCTTGCTTCTCAGAGTGCCCTATAAACAGCATGACTGATAACTGATCGTCAGTAACAAAGTAATCATAATTTCTCAAAATTATAGCAGCTAAGAGTGTATTAAAAGTGATCGCATAAGATGGGGTCTCACAGAATCAGTAATACGTGAAGGCTGTAATTGTACAGGCAGAGCTGAATCATCTGCGTACGGTCTAAATGTTTTCAATCAATTTCAAGTTTTAAAATTTTATGTTTCCAAAGATTTTATCAGCCTCTGAAACGATTTGTATTTTGAAAGAGTCAGTAATAATGTGCAACGGAAAGAAATACAAGTTGCTGTTGATTTTAGTTGAAAGGGAGCCCAAAAAATCTGTTTCTGAGATGACCCTCTCTCCATCAATTTTGTAATTATTCAGAAAGAAGTCTTAATTTTTACTTGTCCTTCTTGATTTTTTCTTTTATGAGTTTCTCTTGTGTTCTACTCATTTCGACCAAACTATGGCTATCACTTGGCAACTAAAATATGACCTGTAAGATACACAAACAGGGCCACTTTTTTAAAAGAAATCCATAAGGAACTTGAAAAAATTGTGTAAAACACTCAGAAATACTATTTACCCCTGAAATTTAGTAATTCGGCACTTAAATATATAAAATGAGGGAGATATTGAACCATTTTCGGTACTTTCGGCACAAAATCCTATCATCACCTTTCAAATTAAACCAAATTAGCACATCTCATCAAAGATTTACTAAGTCTCCGCAAATTTATTCAGAAATTTTATCATAAGTTCTACTAAGAATTCTACTCTTAGAGTCTGAACTAATTTTGTATGTTTAGGAAGTTTCTTAAATTAAATCTAAAGAATAGAACAGAAGTATAGACTCAAGTGTAGTGAATCTCAGAAAGTGTATGCCCTCACTTCAACAGTACATGTTTTTACTTCAGCTCACCGCCTCCAGCTACTGATGACTGTCATTTTATCTTATTTTTTTTCAGGTTGCCATGTTTCGAAAAACACGGCATGAAAATTTGGTCCTATTCATGGGAGCATGCATGAAGCCACCACGATTAGCGATTGTAACTAGCATGTGCAAAGGAATGACATTGTACACCCATATACACTTGTACAAAGACAAATTCAATGTTAATAATACTACAATTGTTGCTCAACAAATATCACAGGTATCTTTTTTTTCAATGAAACATTTTGTTTTCAAATGAATTAAAGAATTCTTTTTTTTTCTTCATTTTTCCTCTTTTTAATTTGTTTGTTAGGCAGCTAGTGTCGTGGGTTAAAATTAAATTGTTAACTTGCATTAATGTAAAATTGAAGTATTTATTTGTTGAAACCTGTCGGCCTTGGCCATTGCCAGGACTTAGGAAAAAAACAGTTTGAGACAGTACATGATAAATTTTGATTAATATTTTCAATTCACATTTTTTTTATATTAATATAATCATATATTGCTCAAACTGTGTTTTTTTGCTAAGTCTTGATGATGGCCAAGGCCAAAAAGCTTCGACAAGTAAATACTTCAATTTTATGTGAACATAAGTTAATAATTTCATTTTAACCCATTAGCTTTAGCTACCCAACAAACAAACAAACAAACAAACAAACAAACAAAGTATACTAAGTGCTACTATCATAATGTTGTACATCAACACTTTCAATAAACAATGGGCCTGTTGCAAACTTTTGCCAGAGCGAAAGTAAGAGTTGTCTCTTATAGAAAATGTCTCAAAAATCACGATGAGCGCATTGGCAAATTCTTAAATGCACTTCTAACTGAACAATCTGTGTAAGAAATTTACGTTTTTTTTAGTTTCCTGCTTCAAAAACGATACTATGACACAGGTGAACATTTCGTTAGAGGAGTTATTCCATTTAACCCTTTCTCAATAGCAACACCCACTAACTTAACTTTCACACTTCACTTAGCCGACACTTCCACACGCAAATTGCAATCAGGAGTACAAGGCCAACCAAAGCGGATCTTTATCAACGAGAAGCATTCGTGAATGTAAACACGCCGACTGTTATCAGACGGTTAGAATCTCGTCCAGACACATGCGTTTTGGCGGATTGGCGTCAGCCATGTTGAATATTGAGAAGCATCCTATTGAGCAGAGGTCGGATGACATGACTTCCCCAACAAAATGATCACCTGTGCCGTAGTATCGTCAAAAAACGTCAATTGCTTATGCAGGTTGTGAAGTTAGGAGTGCAAATCAGAGTTGGCCGATGCGCTCATCGTTATTTTTGAAACATTTTCTCTAAGAAACAACTCTTATTTTTGCTCTGGCAAAAGTTTGCAACAGGTCCATTCTTTTTACAGGAGTCCATATTAAAAAAATTCATTTTAATAATCTCAAACATTATTTATTATTTTTCTTTTATGCAAGAATCACTAAAAAATCTGGTTAAAAATACAGTTTGAACGAGGACACAAGTTTGCTTTGTACAAGCATTTCAGGCATATCTTATGGTGCCTTTTATGATTGATCTGTGATTGACCTTGGAAAAAGTAACTATAAGTCTCAGTTATACAAATTTTAGGAGTGTAATTTTTATTATCGTAAGGCCTTGTATAAAGTAACCCAAAATCTATGTGCTTTTTATCTAATATGTTACAACTATATTATTTACAGGGGATGGGGTATCTACATGCACGTGGCATCATTCACAAAGATCTGAAAAGCAAGAATATATTTTTAGAAAATGGAAAAGTAGTCATCACAGATTTTGGTTTGTTCAGTGTCACGAAGTTGTGTATAAAACACAGGTGAGGCAAATTGAACACTTACATCTAATTTTAATGCACAGTATTTATTTTTATCATTTGAAGAGAAGAAATGTAAGTACTTGGAAGCATGCAGTGCACTCAGATATCTTAATCCTTCAAGTCTGAAATCTTTTTGGTCGAAATGTCTGACGAAGTGCTTAAACAAATCCTCAAAATCAGCTGATTCCCAAGCGACTGATTTAAGGTTGTCAGTGTCTGACTGCACTAAAGCTCTGAGGGGTCTGAAAACGCTGGAATTGTCAGTCAAAGGAAAGTGACCGGAAAACCTTTAAAAGTTCGAGAATTTCCTCTAAATATGTGTAAAGTCAACTAATCTTTTTACAAACTTAGAATTGAGGGTGAAAAGACGGCCACAACCCAATAAATAAATAAATAAATAATTAAAAAAAAAAAAAAAACAGGCTAGAAGGTTTATTCATATTCATCTTTATTATCTGTCGCATCCGTGCAACGCTCTAAGTTTTTCATCCATCCTTTTCTTACCCATTTCTTTCATCTCTCTCTTCAATTCTCAGTTTTCAACTTTTCAGGCCTAAAGCCGCTTTTTACAACTTATCAGAACAACCAACTAATTAATCTAATCAGTGTAACGACAAGCTGATGCAATGCGAACCGTTTTTTGCTCATGCTCATCCATGCCTCATAAGGGCTGGAGAGATTAATGTTCACGTACTTCGATTCCTACCACCTCAGCGAAAGCTTTAGCTACATACTCTGCGCTCAATCAAAGTCTCACATAGTCAAATTATCTTGTTAGTAGTTTCAGAATAAAGCGTCCAGTTTTTCAACAAGTTGGATTCATCTATTCATCTTTACCTAAATTCTGCTCTCCCACAGTTTCCATTATTTTTCGTGCGCGTGAGAAGGGCTCTTAGACGTTTTCAGTCCGTCTAACACTCAGTCCCAACTTCGTACGCGACATTATCAAAAATTCATAGTTGAATTGTGCTTCACGTGCCACAGTCTGTAATTTTTTTGACCGTCTAATTTTTCTGACGTTTACTTTTATGAATCATGTTTTTACCTTCCAAAGACCCGGACAAATGAAAATGAAATACTAAGTATGATTTCCTTGTGAAGCAATCATGCCTCATCAGCATTAGATTTTATTTGAAACTCATAGTGTGTATCCTGGCAAAAAGACTTGTGAACATCAGAAAATTTCATGATTGAAATATTTTCTTTACTTTTTGATGAGAATCTACACTCCCCATTAACATTATATCTGATTGAAACAATTATCATTAATAATATGAATCAATTTTCGTATGATTAGAATTAAGATTGTATTTTAAGTACCTCCTGAAGTAATAATACCAGAACTTTTTCTTCTTGATTTCAGGAAAGAGGGTAATATTAGTATACCGCCAGGCTGGCTCTGCTACTTGGCGCCTGAAGTCATTCGTAGCCTAAACGCGCATCACAAACCTGAGGATGAAGATTTACCTTTCACACAAGCCTCAGATGTTTATGCCTTTGGGTATGTGTTTTTAACAATACCTCTAATGCGCAGCCCTATATTTCTAGCCAGACTTCTGTAAAAAATGCTGAGAAGAAAACCAAGCCTTCTTATAAACCTCTTAATTTGTTTCTTAACAAAGTTCCCAGCCCACCTTCTTTTTGTGAGTTTAGGAATCAAAATATAATAAAAACTAGTTCATGTCAGAGCACATTCAGTTCACCTGATTTTTTCAGCCAGTGCCAAACCACGTATCCCTGTTTGTGAAGTTGCTGACGTCTAGTCATACTTTTTTTATTCTTTGGGATACCAGTCAACATAATTCTATTAAAACTTTCCTGATTTCACTTCTCCGACAGTAGAATATTTGTATGTATTTCTAGCTGTGAAGTTGACTCGTTTCTTGCAGAAAAAATAAGATAGGAGCTGAAATTCGAAAATATTGCAACCTAGGTACATGGTTTTGCATTTTGACCATCTAAATATTCGCCATGGTATAAGATGAAGGTGGTAGAAAAGCACGGAATCCACTAATTTAGTTGATGATGCCATCCATCACGTTTTTCACAATGCACTATGTTCATGATCAAGTATCAGGCGTCAACGCTTGGCAATAGAAAGTTTCTCATTACTTTTTGTCAATGTCTAAATATTGATCATCAGAAGCATAATTGGATTTCATTCTGCAATTAGAGACCACAATTTCTGGCCCATCTATCAAAACACTTACGTACACAGGGAATCTAATAGTACATATCGACGGTGTAAGTCGGCAATCACATAACTCGATTTGCGACGTCGCAGACTTCCTATCACACTTTATTTTTTAAACGGAAAACTACTCAACAGCTATACTTTAAAACTCCAGTGATTTTTCTTCTTTATGCAAAGAAAATTCTGCAAAAACTTCAAGGAATCATGTCAAGTTGTTCTTTTGTAGAAAAATAACATAGAGGCGGAGATTTTCAGACACCGCAAACGAGTTATGTGATTGCCGACTTACACCGTCGATATGTTGTTTCTAAACTGAGGCAGAAATTTTAGTTAGTGTTATAAACGAGAGTCTTAATAAAAAAGGGTTTCGCACGATGTTATAGCGAGATCGTTTTGAAAGAAATGTTTTCGGCACCAATTGCTCTTTGATATTGTAGGAACAACAAACTACAAAGAGACGTGGATCAAACAAAGGACACTGGATCTTCTTGAGATGAATTCGATTGTAATGTCGGAAAATGAGAGCACAAAAATCACAGAACAGTTCGAAAAATAAGAAAATAATCACTTAAAAGAAATGTGTGATGTTGCGAGAGAGGGCACAAAATTGTTGAAGGGCGAGAGAGAGTGTACGTTCCACAAGTCTGGATGTTAATAAAAATTCACATGAGTTCAGAGAGACGGAATAAAGTGACAGACCTAGATTTTAGGGCAGCCCACGCTTGTAAAGACTTGTTGACGTCACGGGTGGTAAGACAACAAGTCTACTGGTGATTGGCTGGCTGTAATCTATGTAGCTATCAGCTGCAAGTTCAGTAATTGAAATTAATGTTGATATACCAGAAGATAGAGGTAAAAAGGATTTAAAAATTGAAAAATGGACTTTTTGAGAGCTGGGAATAAGTGAACTGAAAACGTTTTGGAATATGTTGACAGTTAGGAATTACAAAATGTAGTCCAATTCAATTCAGAGCAAATCTGACCCTGTGAATCTTTTTCTTACAGAACTGTATGGTATGAGCTGCTGTGTGGGGAGTGGCCGTTCAACACTTTAACCTCAGAAAGCATCATCTGGCAGGTTGGAAGAGGAATGAAACAACCCTTAGCAAATCTTCAGGCCTCGCAGGATGTAAAAGTACGAATGTCCTCAGCTCGCTCCATACTTTCAACTCTTTTTTTTTCCTTTCTGCTTTTTAGTAGCTCTGACTTTAGAGGACTTTGTATGCTTTTAGATAAAGTGAGAGTCAATAGGTACTCCAAATTATAGATAATTCATCCGAACTTTCTAATTATCATTGTGTTTGTCTAACCTAGGTGCATTATCTTGTTCTTGCACCGTTTTGGCTTGAATATAGGAATTTTGAAAGACATTTTTTTGGAAATAGACAGTTGCATGGACCCATTCTTTGCTAATTCACAGTGTTCAGCGCCCAAACAACTGGTATAGCAAGCATTATTAGAGAATGGAGAATTGGCAGGAAAATCCGGGTGCTCATCAAAGAATTGGTGTTTAAAGTAAATCAGGAATTTCTTCCCATTCTGCTCATAGCTCATTTTGTTCATTCAGTAATTCATATTAAATCGGTCCTGCAGAATTATCTAGAAGATAAAAAAAAATTAATTAATTTGTTTGGATCCTAGGCAAAAAATCAAGTTTTCCCATAGAACCTGTGAAAAAAAAGAAGAGAGGTCCAAGAATTTCATGAGAGAGCCTCATATTTTGTGGAGGATCAAAAGATTTGAATATATTTTCAGGAAATCTAGACTTCATGTGCTAAACATCAGGAAAGAACCGAACTTTTTTTTTTCAATTCTGGTCAGGAATTTCCTGAGTAAGTATATCAATTATTCAATACGTGTTATCTGCATATTGTTTTTCTTCTCTACATTCAGTCACTTTCTCAATTATTTTTCAGGACATTTTAATGCTTTGTTGGTCGTTCAATGCGGCTGATCGACCAGATTTTGCCTGGCTCTTGAAAACCTTAGAAAAAATTCCAAGGAAACGACTGGCTCGAAGTCCATCGCATCCTATCCATTTATCAAGATCAGCAGAATCGGTTTTCTGAGATAAGCAGAAACTAGAATTGCCTTCATCTAGTCAGTAAGTGAAAATAGCTCATTATTTTATTTTAAGTATCAAGATCAGTTAATTAATTCTTCTGTTTCTGGAAAGGGCCAATAGAAAATGATGAAAACATGTGCTCTTTGGTTTTTTCTTTTGTGGTAGAGAATGTTGAAATAATGGATAGCATCATCCTCATTCATCATAAATTAGCAGCTCTATGCTTAAATAATCATATTAGAAGGGAGAAGTTAGGTTTATAAGATATTCTTTGAGGATCTCATATTTTTTCAAGGCTTTGAAAATGTTGGAGAATGTTTGGAAAGTGCCTAAAAGTCTTCACTCTCAATAATTAGAACCTAAGAAAAAGGTTCTGAAAATCTTTTGCTTTGGTTGTGAAAAAGGACCATTAGCCATGTCTTGTGTGTCCATTGCACAGAAATCAACTTCAGGAGTGTGCGAAACCTACATATGTATCTTTAACATTACTTATTGATGGCTAAACTCGGAAATCTTGAATTGTGGTCTGCGAAACCAGAAACTTCTTGTCATACTTATTTATTAATCGAAAATCTAATCAATATAATTCTCTGAAATCTCCAGTGATCTTTCTTTTCTAATCAAGGAAATTAAGTGAAAATTTAAAGCTGTAATCGCAGCACATTCTGTCGGATAACTAAATGAGAACGGAAGTACAAACTTTAAATTAGCAAGATACAATGTTTTTAAGTGTTGTCATACATATTTTGCAACGTTGTTTTTGCCACACTCAAGGCCAAGATTCGAATGATAACTTACTCTGTGTCTCATTAATGCCTGTTGCAGACAAAATCAATGAAGCCCGACTTTTCGGCCAAACTCATTGCTTCTTCATGTCGCCTTGTTTGTATTTCGAGCTGGCTCCTTTGTAAACTGTGTAAAAAAGTTTTCTACTCAACGCCTATCTTGAGGGTTTGTAAGTACTGTGTCTCAACTTTTCTCCTTCGCGATATTCAAACCAAATATTTTCTCTGGAATCAAGAGTGTGTTCATTACAATGTATTCCTTACTCGGCAGTCCCTCTGCGCAAAGTGGAAGAGATAAAGAGACCCACAGGTTCTCTCTACTAATGTGCAAGAGAATGTTTGATTGTAATTTGTATTTATTCCCTCCGTGGGACATTCATCTGCTTTAGTGTACGTCAGTCATGTAGAGCTTCTTGCCAAATTTTGGCTCTCTATTTCTGAACCTTACCTGTAAGTTTTCGAATACCCGTTTTCAAACCAAGGGTAGAGGAGAAATGTTTTGCGGCAGATCCTTCCCATACCATAAAAACTAGTCAAAAAATTCAAATCTAACTGCAAGCTCAGAAGTTTTATTTCGCTGCCAAAGCAATTGATTGCTGCTTAAATTTCTTTCCACCTTTAAATATTCCCTTAACTTGAAAACAGGCTTTACTTAGAATATCTCATGTTGAAGTGAGAATATGTAACAGTAACTTCTTACTTACTGTAATCTCAATTTCAGCATATTTTAAGTTCCCTTTTCAGAGGATGAGTTTAATTGCACATTGTCCACCATATGGATATGAGCCTGGCACCAAAGTGTTCCCACAGTATTGCCATCTTTTTAATCCTCAAAATTTGTGGTAAAAAAAAAGACTGGGAGGAAATTCTGGAAAACTGGGAAGCTAATTTGGCCAGGAACATGAGGTAGTCAAGCTGTTTAGCTAAAGAAATGTTTATAAAGGCTGGTTTTTCTCTTATGAGATAGAATTCTTGTTGTCAAATAGTCGGTCATCTTGATTCATGAGATAAATGTGACCAAAAGGCCTCAACAGGAATATCAAAAATTCTGATCTGTGCTTGACCGAGTGTGGGGAAAGATTCATTTGGCTGAAAACTAAGAATCACGTTATCGGTATTATTGCTTAAGAAGTAGCTCACAAAGAATCAAACCATACCGTAGTCCTAATGTTTTGAAGGTTGCAATTTTAGAAGCTTAGTCTCAAGAAAAACCTGTTAAAAGCTTTTACATCCTGTATTCGGAGTTCAAAATTGCTAGAATGAATCGCAATTTCTTGCCCCCTGTTGGCAAGAAAGTGAAATAAACTGTTGCCAACTTCAACTTATTTGTTAGGATGTTGAAGAGTGTCGGAAAAATCTAAAGATTTTTCCCCTCAGAAATTTGTAGATGTCTCCATAGAGCTCTCCAAAAATGATTCGAAAATCATCTAAATTTTGGATCGTAAGGTTTTCAGTGAATGATACGTAGCCAGTCGGCTATTCTTGTCTAATTTTTCATCAATTTTCTGTGATACTGTAGGACTTAACTTGAGTCCCACCAGCGAGCTTGCTTTAAACCTTTTTAAATTAATTAGCCAGTCTGAAAGTTTGTAATTTGCTTGCAGAATGGATTTTTTTTCTTTCTATTGAATCAAATTCATAGCCGCAAATATGTCCATTCAAGAGACTTTTATTAGAATCAAGGAAAATAGATTTCCTTAAATTAGGCTTTGAAAAGTTCTCAACTCAAGTTTTCTTGTCCATCAAAAATAATTGTATGTTTGTCAATTTCTATCACATGTTTCGGTCAAGGCTTTCAGTTAGCTTTTTGTACGTAAGTTTTAGGTGAAAATTTCTTCATTTATTATTAAATTTGTGTTTCCAGGGTGTCTACAAGTCTGGAATTGCCAAAAATAGTACTGATTTTTTAAGGGCAGACTGGAATGTTGTAATAGTGAAATATTAGTATTAGTGCAGTCAGGTTGGCAATCACTGTAATGCCACACCTGAGAGGATAGTGCGCATGCGCAAGGTGAAGGTTATCCAATATTGTACATACAGTTGAATTTTTTAATTTTGCTTTAACATCATCTAATGTTGGAATATAATGTTTTGGCGTTACAATTTCTTTATTTAAGGCATGAGGATCTAAGCAGATTCTTACTTCTCCATTCGGTTTTGACACCGTTACAATTGGATTTACCCACTCAGTAGGTTCCGTTACTCTTTCAATTACTCCTAATTGCATCATCCTTTGCAGTTCTTTCCAAACTCTCCTACGCAATTTATAAGGAATTTTTCTTGGCGGCTCAGCTGTTGTTTTCGCACTATCATTTATTTTTATTTTACACTTGCAATTTTTTATGCGACCTATTCCTTTAAACACTTCAAATTGATGAACTATTGATTTATATTCATCCGCAATTACATTAACTTGTTGCAGTACACCTAATTGCTTACAAGTTTTATAACCAAATATTGGGGGTGTATTAATTTCCGCCACAATAAATTTAATTACATGGGCTTTGCCCGCTTGCTCATTAACACATTTGAGATTGCACTCACCAACGACTTGCATTTTTTCTCCAGTAACTGAAGTTAATTTGACATTAGTTTTAAGAATGGGTCTTTTGCCTATTATTCTTTTACTTAAATTAGCAGGGATTACATTTGCTTGGGCACCTGTATCAACTAACAAATTTGTATAGTAGTTATTGACATTCAGAGTTACATACCACTGATCGTCCTCCTGCTTGGATTCGATCGCACCAATGAATAGCTCAGGACCATCATCTTCCGAATAGTAATCGTCGCTATCAGTCGACTCCTCATCCACCAGTCTCACTTTTCGCTCAGCATCCTTGCAAACTCTTGAGAAGTGATTTGACCCATTGCAATTGTCACATTTTCTCCCAATGGCAGGGCACCTTCCAGAAAAATGTTTGGTATTTCCACAGTTCTTTCACCTACTGTAGTTTCCTGTCCTTCTCGAGTCATCGGCTTGCACCTTAGAAGAACCGTACCACCAATTAGATTGTCCCTTGTGCTTCGGACCACTTGCATACTGCTTTGCACTGTTGGTAGTTCTTCGATGACTGCGCTGCTCTGCATTATGCTTGCCTTTCATTATCTTGATAACGTCTGTTGATCTTTCCAACTACAGGTTCATTGGCATCCATTTCTTGCACCTGACGTCTTGATGCATCAAACGTTTTGATGGTTTTGATGGCATTCTCCAACGTCTCATCCTGCTTCATCAATACTTGGATTCTCACCTCTTCAAACTTCGGAAGCAAATTTGCAATCATGATCGCTTTGACAATTTTATCGCTTAGAATGTCTAGGTTACAGGCCAGGCTTAAATTCTTCAAATTAGTGACAAACTCGTCCAATGTCTCATCTTCTTTTTGTTTTCTGGTTATTAATTTGTATAAAGCCATTTCCACATTCTTTTCTGGCTTGAAGTGTGCATCAAACAGTTCTATGAGTTGCTTATGTGTGAGTTCGTCGTACTTCTTATTGAACGATGCATATATGCTGTATGCGTCATCCCCAAGAAATTGTAATAGCAAACAATTTCTTCTTGTGTCTGACTCTCCGTCACACGTCGTTGCACACATGAAGATTTCAAATTTTGCCTTCCAAACCTTCCAGCGTTCAGCCATGTTCGCTCCAGCCACAATCTCCAGGGGCTTTATCTTGGCAGATATTGCTTTGGTTGATCCATGGGATGCTGCTCCTCTCACCATTTGCACTTGTATTTGGCATTGCTCTTGCTTGGTGTTGGCACACGATTCTTGAAACTTTGCAGGATTTGATTGATGGCACAATCTTAGGCTTCGATGGTCGTCATTGGCACATGGCAGTTGCACTCGCGACTTGCAATTTTTCCGTAACCGTACTTACTTTAGCGATCGTGGAAAACTCCCGGGTTATGGCACCATGTTATGTTCGATAAGATAAAAATGAATCAATGCACTTAACGGAATTATAGATTTATTCATCGTCACTCACGAACAAGCCACTCTGGCTGCAGCTGATGGTTGATAACAGATAACATACATTGGATAACCTTCACCTTGCGCATGCGCACTATCCTCTCAGGTGTGGCATTACAGTGATTGCCAACCTGACTGCCCTAATACTATATTTCACTATTACAACATGGAAGCACTGAAGGAAGGCGGAATTCCTGCAAGAGGGTCCGGAATTTTTTTCATTTTTGTTGCAATTTGAGTGAGGAATTCAAAACTTTAAAATTTTTCGAATTTCGTCTAATGGAGGCACTGAAAAAGTACTAAATTTTTCTGTTGAGAAGGTACTGAATTTCTTGGGAATGTACTGAAAAAGTACTGTAACAGCACTGATTTTTGGCCAGCCTGTTCTAGTAGACACCCTGGTTTCAAATAGGAAAATACTTTTTATACTGCATGAAAAAGTTAAGATCGGGCTGTTTTAGACTTTTTACAGAGTTTATTTATTATTAATTTCTCATTCAAAGAACTGCGTTCCTTCATGAATACCATTTTGAAATCACCCTTAATTATCAAACGGGAGTGACTTATTCATCATTAATTGCATACCTTCTGTGGTGCACATTAGGCACTTGCAGATGGCCTTTATGAATTTTCTGATTCCACTCGTCTAAAAATCACTGTGCAGGTATCAGTTAGAATTTTGTAATGATTTATATCTGTGATTTTCTGTACAGCAGATAAAAATCAGGTTTCGAGTTATTTTTAGGCGTCGAATATACCATGCATGTTGTGAGACGAATGAATGAATTTTAGATTTTACGCATGTGTTCGTCTTAATTTTTGAGTGGTTTTATGTAAGAGTAATTTTAGTTTCTCTCAAGTGGATGGAAAAGTTTGGAACAGCCCAATCGATATTACCTGTAGGTGTTCATTTCTTCATAGCACTCTAAGTTGGTGTGTGGTTAACAAAATAGTCAATTGTACAGTGTTTGGTCGGGAGATCTTCCCATTTGTTACAGCTCATTCTGCGCATTCAGAGACACTTTGCAAGTGATATCTAATGATTCTAATGTTATTCCTGAAACTTAGTCTGTAAAACCACTTGAGTAAGAAGTCACATTATTTGTAAAGGAAATGCATGAATTTTAATTATTTCCTTAGTGGTTTTAATACAGAAAACAGATGAATGAAGGATTATATTATAGGGCCTTTCAAGTATTACATAATGCACTTAGGAGGGGGGGGGGGTTGGAGCCAGCGTTATGGTATGTTACAAGGGGGACAGGAGTCAATCCCAGCGTTATGTGACAAATTGGAGCCGGGGGGAAAAACTTTGAAAAACGTGCAAAAAATTGAAAATCCGGCCCTACCAGAACGAAAACTTTGTGTGCAGCGCGTGACCCAGCTGATGAAACACGTGCTGCACTTACGCATCCTTTAACCTCCTCTTCTATCCTTCAGTCTCCATTCCTTGTCGGAATGTGTCAATAAACTATTGTTTTGTTTACCTCCAAAAAAAAACCCGAATATTTTTCAAGCTGTTTTTTTTTTCAGCGTTTTCTTGATTTTTAAAAAATGGGGGGGGGGGGNGGGGGAGGTCTGGTCAGCGTTACATAATTCAAAAGGGGGGAGGTGGGCAGCGTTATGGGTGCATTACAAGTGGGGCAGAGAGGTAAAAAAATTGGAAAAAGTGTGTTACGTAAAACTTGAACGGCCCCTATAATATTTATTTTCAATTATTTCTTTTCCAAATTACCAAATTTTTTCATTCTAAAGTGCGTTTGTTTGCTGAAAAATAGAGCTCTTTGTCTTGAAATCGTCCTGTCTGAGAGACACCTTACAGTAAAGTCTGAACATTTTTCTTCTCCATTCAATAATCAGCTAGGGGAATAAAGGAGCAAAGTGTTGTGAAACCTATTTTGTGTCGCTAGTCATTCTTGACATGAAGGATCGTTTAGAAATAATTAATCCGTTTGGTTTTAAAATGATTTTAATGGAATTGGTGAAAGAATTACAGATGAAAGTTGTCTTTAACACTCATTTTTGCTCAGGGAATTTCTACAAAAGAATCCGCTTGATTGTTCCATAAAAATTTTTATAAGAATAGACAGCAATGTGCTGAGTAATGATATCTCAGGATGTCAACAATGTCAGCAGGGTGTCTATAGATTTAACGGACAGAAAAAGATCAGAATTCATCTCAAAGATCAGGGAAAATATTTTCAAAATTTGCACATAAATGACTCAGTCGGGCAAATTATTCCAACGTAAATAAAATCTTATCCATGATATTCAAGAAAATTAACTATCAGTAAAATTATTCTTCTTCTTTGAAAGAAAAGTCCAAAAATTAATAGTTCATCTTCACATTCGTTTATTATGAAGACAAAAATCCATAAAATGTACTGGTTTCTTGACTTTGCTTACATTTTTTTTCTGGCATTCTGTGTGGCATTGTGTGTCAAGGAATTTCATAATTTTGTAGAATTGTAATTTGCTTGAATTTTCTTTATCAGAAGAGTTTAGATCGTTTGAATAAAGATGTTGAAAAATGTAACTCCAATTTTAAGCGAGGAAAATCAAGAAATTTAGAGGTTCGTTTTTAATGTGTGCAGTAAAAATTGTTGTCTTTTTGGTTTGGATAAATCTGGCAAAGTCATGAGATCTCTCTTCCCTGGAGTTGGTGCGCAGTGTAGACCTCTCCTTTATTTTGGCATGAGTCTTCGTTTTGCCGTACTCTTACTTGATGGAAAGCTCATTTGGTCAAGTAAAATTTAAAAGAAAAAACATAACAATTTTTATTCAATAGAATAATCAATTCTATTCGATTGAGTTTATTTCATTCAATTCATTTTAGCACAATAAATACAAGCAAGTTGCTCTTAAAAAATAAATTGTAAATACTTTCAAAAAAATTTCAAAACCTTATTACCAGTATTTTTTGGGCCTGCTGTTGCCACTCAGTTCTCTGTTAGATTTTCACGCAGAAAAGTACTCATTTCACAGTTGAAATGTCGCTCATTAAAATTGCTTCATACAGAAGCTGCAGAATCTTCTTTGACTTGTCTTACGGCATGAGGAAAACAGGGAGGTATTGAGGTAGTCATTAAGCGCATTTTGTATTTCTGGTCGTTTCTGGACCTCTTCGATTTCCCCCGTATCCTAGATTTTTCAAGCTTTCTCTATTGATCTCTACTTATTCTCTACAAAAAATCATCTCTGTTTATACTCGGTCATTGTTTGTCAATACAAGTTTTGGAGAGTACATTGGTTGTTAATATGGTGTCAATTGCGCAGAGATGAGAATACCTTAAATGCTCTTAAAAGATGACTTGCACAGAAACATAAACATTTTCGTTTTCTGAACAGCAATTTGATTTGTACTGAAATTCAAAGCAATGAATTGAGGACAACTCAAAGATTTCCTCACCGGAAATCAGGATGTTGACGTATTCCAAGTGTGACTTCCCCTTTTCTTCAGCTGATACTTTGGTGAGAAGTTCCTCGAGTTTCCCAATTTAATTCTTTTAATTTTCATGAACGATGTCAGGTATTGATGCCTGTTTATAACGGAACCTCTAGCGTCTCTTCGTTTTCATACCAAGTCGAAACTCAAGGTTAGACTCAACTCATAATGTTTAGAGCAATGTTGAGAATAGAAATCGACAAGGCATTTTGCAGCCTGATTGTTGAAATTTTGTTTGTCGGGTGGACATGGATGACATAGGTTAAATGGCGAAGTGTGATCGGTCGGCTATGTCTTATTGCTGCTTTGTCGATTAGAATGGACGACAAACTAAAGGCACCTCTTGAGTTTCCGAGAGTATGTCGTCCATTCCAATCGACAAAGCAGCAATAAGACATAGCCAACCAATCTTGCTTCGCCATTTAACCTATGTCATTCATGTCCACCCAACCAACACAAAATTTCAACTATCAGGCTGCAGGTTTCAATAAATGAAAAATGTTGAAAGATTTCAGGTCAAATGAGGAAATTTCCTTAAAAAGATGTTTCCCGTCCAGCCGTGAGCTTTGGAAGTTCAGTGCAAATTTCAGAAAGCACTCGTACATGGTGCCAATGTCTCTTCATTTCACAAATCAGTTAAACATTCAGTATCAATACTAGAAAAGTTGATAAATGCGGCTTGCAAACCATCTCAGTATTATATCTCAGGTTTTATCACTAACTGCGGAAAATTAAAGCGTAAATTGTCTCCCACTCAATATTCCTCATCTATCAACTTTTCATTCATACTTGCTGCTCCGCTTTATCCTTTAAAGTTTTTTTTATTCTTTCTTTCTTTGTCCCTCTTTCTCTAATTTAATATGTTGACTCGGTTCCAAAATATGAAATTGAACATTGTAAGTCCAAAGTTCAGCAGGTTGTTAGCAGATAGTGATTTCAAGTCATTTTTATTATGCTTGCGATATATTAGCGGCTCTCCAGGTTTCTCTGCCAAGCAATTTTTGTCAAGTCATATTTGGATCGCTCTGGCTTTCCCTATCAAAATACCAATTCTACTCAGTGTCCAATATCTGTCTGTTATTGTTGAGTGAAAGCGATGATTTCTTTTGAGAACTATTTCCAGCTCAGTCGACTATAAAATGCTCTAGATCAGGTTGACTTTGACCAGACTCTGGAGTCTCGATGGTCTAAATTTTAAGTCAAATTCTTCTTCTTTCTTTTTTTCTCTCAGGTTTAGGTGTGTTATTTCAAAATCGTTTTAAGAGTTGATGAACTTTATTGCTTTATTTTTATAAATACCTAAGTG